AATCTAGATTTTGCTAGGTTTTTATCCTCGGCTAGTCTGACTGCACCTGTTCTACTACTCTGACCACTTTATTCGACCTGGCAGTGATTACTGGATACTAGATAAACTAAATAAATTACCTCGACAGGGTAGAACTCGAAGAATTCGTCGAAATCAATGTTTTGTGTTAAGCAATCCATGTTTTAATTTACAATTCCTCTACCAACATATTGATTATTTTAGATTAGCATTCATAGTTTACTGAATCTTCATATAGAATTTGATGAAAACATTTGTGTACTTGAATGCTTCGTGTTTCAAAAGAAATCTTGGAAATACACAATCATTATTAGATAATTGAAGCATTCGGTAAAGGATCAGACGCTAATCTTCTGTACTGGATTATATACGGAAATACAACTACCTACTGGTATTGTACACCATCTTCTGAAGCAGACTGATGCACAGATAACTAATACTTCGTAAACACAGCATCCAAGCTATAAATGTAATGTTGATGCTATCGAGCCATTTACCCTTATCAGTAGACTAACAATTCACCTAACAAATATCGGATTTTTCTGCTATTGTGTGTGGACTTGCTGGTGTAGAAGTAACTCTAGTTGCACCGGCAGTAAACTTCCTACTTGACTGGATTCCAGTAGGAAACCGTGTGTGTGCTGTTCCGTTGAACGGATTCGTTAGGGAAGAAAAAGATTGTGATACTCGACAGTGTTTTCTCATAATCTCCATTTACACCCCCAACAGAATTCAGCTCAGATAAGGCAAAGGATGACTGCCATTAAAAGCTATCTAATCTACTGCTAAAAGAAAAATACTCATGTAGAGTCGTGTAAAGGGGTGATATCTGTACTCGAGTAACCGAATTCTAACAGTCAGAAAAGTACTTTGGTAGCATCTATGGAGTCTCATTCCAACAGACCAACAGCAGTGACCATATTCCCCCCGGCATTGGCCAAATCTCAAAACTGTAAAAAAAAAAAAAAATTCTTCAAACCAACAGCCGTTCCTGACAAGCAGCAACTTCAAAACATAATGAAAGACACTGCCTAGCTCGGCGACCGCCATTATCAAATCAATTATGAACTTCAGTAGATCACATGACCATAAGCTAAAAATGGAGAGAGTAGGTAAAAGATTGATACACCCTCTAGAACATCTGTTTAGACTCTGATTACTGTCTAATCCCTGTGTGTATATGCCTCTGATTGAATGGAAATAAATGGTAGGTAGCTATGAAGCTGCAACGCCACTACCTGGATGAGTCCAATAAACTTGTATTTGGGGAACAAATAGCTCTTATCCCTAAAAAACCTGGTATAATAACCAGTCACCTGTAGAAACAGTGGTAAAAGTTATTTATAACCTGCCTCATCTGAACTGAAAGTTTTCAGCAGACTCAAGATATTAAGAAGAGTGAAACCTGTTCAAATGCAAGCTGATTAAAAGCCTTCATAGACTCTGTCAACTGAGAGATGTTGTGTCAATATCTGACCGCGAAGAAAATACCGATAAAGTGTATGGCACTGATGACGACACTCTACCTAAACTAACAAAAACATGTGAGACCTTAAGAAGAGTTGCCGTCCGAAGTGACACAAACCAGTAGTGTCCATTAGTGTTGCCCATTGTCTTTATTTTTATTTAATTTCAGCATAGACCAACCCTAGTCAAATTTATCCATCTAGAGATTGACTTATTATCAGGAAACAGTCCCACTGATTTAGGGTATGCAGATGATATTATACATCTAAGTGAAGACACTGACCAAATATGCAGTCTTCTGAACGTCTTGACGAGAAATGCTACTAAATTTGGAATGAGATTCGCCCCTGTAAAGCGTAAAGTAATGCCACACGCCTACTCCTACTCTTAAGATAAGTACTGAACTGAATGAACATTTTAACCATTTCGGTTATTTAGGAAGTTACACCAACGTCAACGAACTGACTGCTGACAAAATCTAAACACAGATACAAAATGTTAACTTGGCACTTTCCGACTCATGTCGTATTTAGCATAGACGGAATATGTGGCAATAAATCAAATTACCTGTGTACTGCTGAATAGTTCGCTCTACCCTACTTTACTGACTGTGAGACGTGGAGTTTGGAAGTGAAAGGTATGAAGAGCTTAGCTGTCTTTCGCTAAGGGTGTTTGCTCTCTGCCTTTCATGCCTAGTAACACAATATAGTGAGTAATATTCTGGTTGGGCGTAGAGTGCTTGGGAAGAGAGGGGGTTAGTCTATCGATGAGGTCGTGAAGCCATTCTGATTGTCACTGCGAAGATTGGATCATCAAGACACTAACAGCCAATGGTTGGAGACTGTAGTTGATAAGGCTTGATGGAACAGAGGCATTCATTCATTATCAACTCGCAGATCTATTGAATTCTCCATATATTTATTCTTTCTCCGGAAGATTTTAGATCACAGCACTTCCGTTATAGGCTCTTTTATGGGCTATTGTTGCTACATTTGCATCCAACCAACTCTCTTTTTCTGGGTCTATCAGCGCCTAGTTAACTAAGTGATGTTTAGAATTGCATCAGTCGGGAAGACACCCTGGACCACCTGTGCAGCTAGAAAACCTTCTATCATTCAGGTAGCGATGCCCATTTATTCTATATTGTGCGTTAAAAATTCCGTTTTCAACTGATAATTTGAGAATTAAGTCTACATTCAATTTCAGTTCTGTTTGTCGCTCAACAGAGATATGGCTCATTGGATAAAGCGCTTGATTCCTGACCATTCATTAAATAACTAGTTCAGATCCCATTCTATCGATCTAGGTTTTCACGACCAGGTAGTATTCACATAAGAACATTTGAACTTCACTAAGAAACGAGAATCAACTCAAACAGTTGATATTTTACTTCAAACATCACATTATTTTCTAATTACTAGTACGTTTTTTTCAGATTTCGCCTTACAATTAAAGAAGAAGAAAAAGTGAGATGAATGTGAATAAGCTAATTTCCTTAAAAATTTCAAATGAAACAAAAAAATGGTATTTTTTGGTTGAGAAATATTTGTTTACATTCATATATCCTGAACCTATTGGTCATGCACTAGACTAAAACCACATAGTTGTGTGAGGAGTAATGATACTACTCAGTTGACAAAACTGAAGTAGGTGGTGAAGAGGGATTAGAACTAAAAACCTACTCAGTGAAAGTTGGACGCACAAAAAAATCAACCTCAGCATTAGAAGAGGGAGAAGACGGTTAACCCATATATATATCATCAACTCGAAGTGGTCAGTGTCGATTCCGCTGACTAACAGTCTGTTAATCTTTCACACTGTCACTTTTTATGGTGTGCCACCAAATGCACTGCAAAACTGGCGAAAACTATCCACTACTAAATAGTGTGCATCTGTCAGTTTGACTGCTCCTGCATAGCTAATTACATTGGGCCTATTCATCATCGGATTTCTAAACATAATGATCCTGTGCAGCTGAACAAAACACGATCTACTCTCACATCTGTTTTACTAGACTTTGTAAACACTGAATATAAAGTAGATGCTAACAAGGCAGTTGAAGTTACCGACTATTTTCTGACTAATTTTAATTTTGCTTTATAATTTCATTTTTTTACATACATATATCTAAAGCCATCGAAATCCACCCGAAGAAGCCAAATTCACGTGTTTAGAAGGAGCTCGTACATAGTCCCGCTTTCTTTACCTTCAACATCATTAACTTGATTGTAATTGTAATCTCTCTCTACCTACCTCAACTTCATTAACTTTGAAAAAGCCTTAGACAGCGTCGATCAAGAGGCGATTTGGAAACTACTTCGCTACTACAAGGCGCAGCCAACAGTTATACACCTCATCCAACAGTTGTACGCCAAGTAATCCACAACGAGAAACTCACGGAATCCTTCGAAGTGAAGACGGGAGTATGAAAAGCTGGCTGGCTATCTCCAATGATTCTCTTGATTTCGGTAGACTGGATAATGAGACAAACAGCGGCGGGCAACGAGGAAACAGGCATAAAATAGACTCACACAAAAAAACTAGGAGGATCTGGACTTCGCCGTTGATATTTGTCTGATTTCCCACAAGATAAAAGCAACAAGTTGGCAGAAGAAACATCCAGAGAAGATAGGACTTCAGGTAAATACAGAGAAAACGGAGGTGATGAAGATTCCCGGCCAACGGCAACAACAACAATCAGCATAAATGGGAGGAATCTGAAAGAAGCGACCTCCTTTACCTACTTACCTGGAAAGCATCGTCTCAACCACAGGAGGAACTGACGAGGATATCAAAGCCAGAATCGGAAAAGCAAGACAAGCCTTCATTACTCTCAAGTCTGTGTGGAGGTCAACAGCACTCAGTATGAAGATGATAATAAGATCTGGATTTTCAATTACAATGTGAAGTTAGTGCTACTTACTATGTTGATCAGAGACTTGGCGCCTCATAAAGAGCATTTCAAACAAACTTCATTAACAGTTGTCTTCGCTCAATACTACTCAAGATCAGATGGCCAGAAAAGATCAGCAACAGGGAAAGATCTCTGGGAGTGAACCAACTCACCAGGAACAAATTGTCTTACAAATATGCAGGAAGAAATGGAGGTGGATTGGCCATACTCCGAGAAAACAAACCACCAAGTGACATCACACGCTAGGCTATCGCTCGAGTGGAACCCGACTGAATGGGAAGTGGCGAGTTGATCGTCAGTGTGACGCTGACATGGAAGAGGTCATGCGAAGAGATGAAAGCACGTGGAGCCAAGTGAAAATATTGGCAGAAAACTGAACGCAATGGAGACGTGCAGCTGAAGCCCTATGTTCCTCTAGGAATGAATGGTAATAATAATAATGATAATAATAATTGTAATCTAACAATTTCGCCCTTTTAATTGTCGCATTAATCTCCCTCCCCCAAATTTTACCTAATATTCAATTTACTATGAAATTTCTATGAATATTTAGCACTTACAACACATTCACATTTGAACTGTAATTAATTAAGATGATAATAGTCAATTAATATTTATTTAATCCAAAAAAGAGGAAGATAATTGGGAATAATTAAACAGAGATCAAACACAGGCGCACACACTCACACGCGGATAACACACAGTGGAAATAATACACAACTTGCTCAATCACATCCCTTAACCACACTGTGACTGACTGTGCCAACCGCTGAATGGAATAAGAGAAAGACAATTAAAAATTAGGCTGAAAGGAAAAAGATAAAGGCGAAAGACACATGTAAGCGTAGAACAACAACCCCTGCATTCATATAATAAGACCTTCTAAAAACAGACACCATATATATTGCGATGATGAAGCCAAAGGGCAAAATAAAGAAAGCGGAACCTTCTATCTCCCCAACCACTGTTCTCACTACCGACGAAAACCACACTGCAAAAACCCCTTCTATGGATGGCAAGTACACCCCCGGTTACGAAGAAACTACATGAATATTAATTCACAAAAATAATACTAAATAGTAATGACACGGCAAAATGTGAAGGTTGATATCATCAGTCAGATCAGTTATTCACATATTGTTTCATTTTTTAAGATAGCTAAACAAACGATAACATTAATAAAATAATTAAAGATGGAATAGACAGACGATAAAGAAGATTCACATGTGATTATATTTTTTTTTCTAATTTTATATGTTTTTCGCGTATTTGTGTGAAAGCGATAGAGTTTACCAGTACAGCGATGATTATATGGAGGCGTATATTATTATTATTATTATTATTATTATTGACAATAATATACACTATAAGATAGAAATTTCGATTTTGAGTTGAAGTCAATCCATGAACAACAAAGAACATGGAACGTGGAAATATTCACTCAATAAAGCGGGGAAAACACTCAGATAAACGCACACACAGACAAACAAACAAAAACAAACAGAAAGGAGGAAATATCAATAGAGGGTCAACTACAAAAGAACTTTATTTAATCTGTTTTGTAGAGGACAAAAAAACAGAATCTACAAGCATGAACAAAATGGCAACAACGACGTCAACAACAACAACAATAACGGTATTACTAGGAGTCCGAGTAAAAGTAGTCGGAGAAGGTGGAGGAATTGTTAACTTCAGAATAAAATTGGCGATATTATCGTGTAGATGTATGTGTGTCTAGAGGGAGGAGGGGTCCCCTCCTTAAGTTACTCCTGTTTTTCAAAAAAGAAAAACTAAACAGATGATTACAAAATAAAGCAAAAAATAATATTAACGATGGATAAGCTATGAGAGTTCATGACACACACACGCACCCACACCCAAACACACACAGTGAATGAAGTGACTGAGGCAACAATCAAAAGAGGTCAACCACAAGTCACACACACCACATAAATACACACAATCACTGGAAGTCAGACAAACAACAACACCTAGAATGTATACACAATAAAATTTTGATGAAATTCGAAAAAACAAAGCATATACACATTAGAAGAGTAAGAATACAGATATCTGGGAAATGCTTCGTCTATACACATGCGTACACGCACGCACACACATTCACACACACAAATTACACACATTATACGGAACAATTATGCTGGGACAATGTAGGCGCACGCGTGTGTGCATGTGTGTGTATGAGGGACTTCTTCTTGTTGGGTATGAGAAAGATCATAAAAATGTGGTAATCAAGCGAAAAATATTGTTGAACGAAGGAAGAAAAGTTCAGAAAAGAGCGAAAAAAAACTACTTGGAGCAGTAATAGTAGTAGTGCTAATGGTAACAGAAGCCTGTTGATTTATTCGGCTACTGCTTATCATCACACAAAATAATAATAATAGTAAAACAAATTAACGCCTATTAATTCGACTGTACAAATTGATGTGTTTTCTCAGCAAGATCAATTAATGAGGCGTAAAGATGTGAAGCTGATGAAATAGGATAATAATCTGTTGCCTTATGCTCGTAACTGCTGACTCCTGTTGATGTAGAATTGTTACTTGTAAAAGATGAGGACGAAGAATTGGACAATTGATGGTCAGTAGGATTGTGAGTAGGACAATTATTATTATTATTATTGTTGTTTGAATGATGCGTAGAATGTTTAGGATTGAAGGCTTCTAGAAAATAATTGGCTAGTTGAGCTAATTCACGACTAAGTGATTTACAACTAGCTTTACGTGCTTCTGTTTCATGTAATTGTTCTAGTTGTCTAATTTCATTCGGTGAAAGAGGTGACTGAAAGGAAAGGAGATTATATAAAATAATTAATAATAATAAAGTAAATAACACGTAAATGATATCATACGCCAAGTGATTCATAACCAAAAGGTCAATGAAGCCTTTGAAATGAAGACAAGACTGCTTACGGTCAACGACTATCCGTCTAATTGTGGTGAACTGGATCATGCGAAAGATGAAAAAATGAAGATGGGCATTCATTAAAAGATCTAGACTTCAAGAATGATTCATGTCTCATGTCATACATCATACTCATAGACTGACAGGCGAAAGCTGACAATCTGACAGAAAAAGAAGCTAAGACAGAAAGTCAATTGACAACAGAAAAAAAAGAGGTGGTACAGATATCCGATCGTCATCAACAACAAACACCAAACACAATCAGTGGGGAAAATATAAAGAGGGTTTTCTTAGCCGCTCACCATATTCAGATCGCTAGAACAATATGCAACAAGTAGAAGTGGGGTAGATAAATAATACCATTTAAATTAGAACTGAAATTCAGCATATAAGTTGAATGACGTAACATAAATGACTAGAAATTGGAAATGGAATTATACTCAGTGCCACAGTGCCCAAGTTTTATCGTTATACTTCCCTACTTGAGGTTTGGCAGAAGCTTAATGAGGTCTACTTCATTTGAAGTATTACTCAACATCCATCAGCTATTCCATGCAGTTGGTAATGGAGCCACACCCATTGTGTAAGAGCTACAGAATATTACCTGGCTGCTTAAACCTTGGTAGGTGGAATCGAGTTGAAATCCGTGATCCCCCCCCCTGGTTCGATGTCGAGTCTTTTAGACCAACGAGGCACAGCTTCATAGAAGTTTAATAGGACCAGTTTTGGAACGTGTAATGAAAATACATTCATGTGTTGTAATAAAAATGAACTATACTTAATACAGATAAGCGTAAAGTACATTAATGAATAAATATAGCAAGTAGAAAATCGACTACAACTCAGTTACTTGATATATATGTCACTAAGTACACGGTCGAATACAATAATGAAAATAGGCTTCGCATACTATCCGATTCTTAAGATTAAAATCGGTGAAGAAAGATTTATATCCAGATATTCAAAGTCAACTTCTTCAGCCGATGAGCCACTATTCTACTGAAGTAACTAAACAAAAATACTAATACGACAAGTATAAATCATACTCAGAGAGCTGATTCTCTCTCTGCAAGTCAAATTAAAAATCTAAATGACACGCCGTACACTAAAAACTGCACAAAAAATAGAGCAATTGGAGGTATAGAAGTGTAGGGGCAGTTGTTACTTCTCAGGGGTCCACAGGGCAGAAGTTGATTTTTTCTTGAAGTATATGAAACAGAAGAAGCACAAGTGTTGCCTGACGGCATAGTCCAGGAGACAACTGCTTGCCGCCATCTATATACGACATGTTTCATGAATTGGTTTTTCGAGTTGCGCCCCAAATAAGATCTTATCCCCACACAGTAAGGTTAGTCATGATGCACAGTTTCCAGAGTCGATCTTTTCTAACCCCCATATCTTCAAAGCACAGCCATGATATCCGGTATGCTTTCACATCTTTTTTCCTTAGTAATACGACACTGCCCACAGACCAACAACATAGTGTAAAAAAAACCTACACTATATCAGTAACGGCTTTCATTCTAACCTCTATCGAAACAACTTTTATGATATGGTAAGATCTACAGGAACATTAATTCCAGCCAAGGTAGTGCTCGTCAGTTGATTGCTATATGCAAGTTCAACCATGAAGTCAAGGCAGCAGCTATCGGTAGGCCAACTGGAATTATGCCTTTTGCGTGTATCACAATGATGTATGCTGCTCACATTAACCAAAAGTATTTGTTAGGCAAATTGATGTGAATCTAAATGACACATGGTCATTTCTATTTCAAAAATTAATCAGTGATGCATTGGAATGAGTCGGTAGAGGGAATCGAATCATTTCTCTCCACAAGAATTCGGGCTAGCTACACAGATCAGCTAATAACACATATAGGTGTGGATTCATCGTTTGCAAATTACTCAATTCAAGATGAGATGTGCGTCGGTGGCACAGTGGTTAGGACTCTCGCTGACCATGCACATGGTCCAAGGTTCGAGCCCGCGCCGACGCACACCTGATATCTATGGTCGACCTGCAAAATTTGGGCTACCGATATCCATGCTGGAAATTCCATACTTGTACCAAAAACACAGTGTGGAATCAAGCTGTAAATCAAAAATAAAAAATATATATATAATGGTGTAATCAACTCTATAGGAAAATAAATACGAGAAACATTATGATTAAATTAAAAGCATATACTATTTAAACATACAGTAATGGGTAGACGAAATTCTTTTATCAGTCTTGTTCGTAAATTCATAAATTGCTCCGATGATAACAGACCATCTGCTTGTATTTTTGGTGGTAAATTAACCAGAGCTAATAACGTCTTGGCTACAATCACCAAAGCCTAGTTAAAGATAATTAATAATAATGATGATAATAATAATAATACTAATGACGTGAGTGAGAAATGGCGTGAAAAGAAAAACCTTGTTGAGAACGTTATTTCAAAATATATACGGATAAATCATGTTGACACTGGTGACCATTGACTACATATAATATTTTATCATGATCAATAAAACAAAATCTCAGAACACACTGACCTCAGACACTCACTGATTTTGCGACTAACTTACGTGTGTATAAACATCTGGGAGACACTATCTAGATATGCACAAGAACACCTCCAAATATGGTTGTCGAAAGGTGAAATTAGACGAAACAGCCGTCCAAATCTTGAACAGGGATAAGACCAAGTCGTCCAAGAGGTTTCAACCGACCTTTTCTGTCTACAGTGGAAGCTTTTCCTATACACAAGGAAAACTCTGGACTGTATATACTGAAGTGGTTTATCCAGTCCTTTACTATAACAGCCATAAATTCTCCTCACTTTTTAACTTGCAGAATAACTTGATATATAATCTGCATTTCAAGTATTGGTTTGTAGGGATTTGGTTGATTGGTTACAGGAATTCATCATGAGCTGATATTAGTTAAAGGACCTTTAGAAAACCTGGGAGTACTGGACAGCTGTTAAGCCCTATGTCAGCTTATGACGAAATCCTGTAACTAATCTACATTTATCGGGTTTTACCTTGTCTTATTCTTTCCTCTCAAACTACTAATCTTAAAATAAAATTTGCTATATATGCTTAATCTCCTAATCTAGTGAACAGTACTCGTGTTCTCAAGTGCTTGTAACTTTTCATGGTAAACATTTCTGAGAGATACTCATCATTTGATGTTTCAGATTGCTTATTTTTATTTCCCATATGTTTTATTACCGATTGAAATGAACAGTTAGTCCCATATGCATTTCCTTGACTTTTTAGAGCACAATATAACTGTATGGCTCTATGAAGTGAAATTACGAAAAGAGGATTCATTGCTGTCCGGGTTTTAAAAACATTTTATAATCTAACAAGGGAGTCATTTCGACTGGTTTAGTGTGATACACTATGCATTCAGCAATAGATGACACAGTTAAAGTTATACCCTATAATGATAAGAAATACATTTGAGTCACCACTATAAACTACTTACAACTAAGAGTTGCTGAACAATTATTTTAGAATCTAAAAGACCGCGGTCAGGCAGCATACACACCTACACAAATGGTTCATTTAAACGGTAAAAGACTTCAAATAATGTTGTCAATTTTTGATTGCATCACTCACACTACCTCTTCAGCTAGTTAACATTATTCACTGAAGAAGGAAGTGCAACACATGTCGTCGTCACAGCATCCAATGATGGAACTTCACAACTTTACCTATCAACTTATCTTCTTTAAATAATATTCTTCCTCCTGAATTCGTTATTATTACTAGTCGAGTAACTGTTTGAAGACAACTATATTGAAAGCCTCCGAATATCAGCAACCATCTTCAATAGTACGATAAAGCAAAATTACGCAAAGGACAGCTTACAAGAACCTACATACCCTTGTGCATAATCAAGAAACTATTTTTAGAATACCAATACTGACAGAAAGTTGCTTTCAATTGATGGTTTACAAGGATTTAGTTGGTTACAGACATCGGTTAGAAAACCACTGGAATACTAAGAGTACTGGACAGTCAGTTCATTCAAGTTTGGGACTCTTCATCTGTACGCGCACCCACCGGGGTTCGAACCAGACTAGCGAGTTTGTAGACCATTAAGCCACTTGAACTTGATTCAATGGCCTATTAATTCCAACTTTTGCTAGTTGAAGATATAGCGCGACCACCACTGGTCAATGTCATCAGCGAGTATCTGTACTCACTTTCAACCTGATATACCTACCTCACTGGTCACGACTATTTCTCAATTCTCTTTAATCAAAAGTTTCACTCTAAACGAAACAATATGAAAAATAGACGCATCTACGTATCATATCATATTTTTGGTCTAGAAAGTAACATTTCCATCCATTGGTCAAACCGCTGATGTGAAAGGAAAGACTCCAGCGTTATGTGCAACTTTAGCATGGAATATTGTACAATTTAGCATTTGTTGACATGAACCATTGAATCATTCACAATAAGAAAAAAAATTTCTTATCTCATATGTGACTAGTCGACAAATGAACACAGAACTTTACTCAGACGTGTATCATCTCAAGTCGCTACACTTCAAAGTAGTAGGTACATAAAAAAAATGGAGAATTAAAAATATCAAATGATACTACAGACAAAACTATAAGTATAACAAATAAAATATAAGAGAGTTACAACAGTATTTTTTTTACAAGTACCAAGCTATGAGTCATATTTATTACGTAAAGGCTGTTAAAACAAACTATTCAGTGACGCAGACTGATGTCATTCGAGTGAAATTCGGAACAACTGGATGAAACTCAGTGTTTACTGGATGACGAAGTTTCGAACACAATTTATTATTGTTCATATTCATATCAATTATAACTACACAATTGAGAAACTTTCATTTATAGATTTCTTTATTCTTTCCTATTTGTCGTCGTAAGGGTAGTATAATTTTTCAGATGTCTGGGATAAGTGTAGAATCATTTCTGCTACATGTATTTTCAGTTGATTGATTCGATAATTAAACCTTATATGCCGAATGAAGCCGTTTCTAGGTGAGTCAAAATGGTTCAATTTAATGCTGAAATCTAATAACCCCAGTAGGATGTATGGTGTTGTTAAACCACCTCTAAAGATGATTTTAAAATTCACCTATTATCAATTGTCTAAATATTTACCTATGGGATTAAATCCTCTTGAAAGCCACTCAAAATCTAGACTGACAAATTCTTATGAACCACCAAAACTTAGATTAGATAATTTAAAATTAGATAGTGAGGAAAAAAAATGGTTAGTTTTGGCATTGTCAGTTTATATACACGTATACCAATAAATATGGTGATAGAAGCAGTCAAAAACGAACTGATGTCTGACGAATAAATTGAACTTAGAACAAAAGTGCTACTACAGGATAAAATGCTGGGAGTACAACTATGCCTGACTTCCACAGTTTTTAAATTCCAAGGAAAACAAACTGAGGGGTTGCCATTGGGTAACAAATATCCTTGATACTGGTAGACATATTCATCGATAGGTAGGAAAATTTGGAGACTGAAACATTCAGACTTACCACTAAAAGTACAGTGGAGGTATGTAGATGACATATTCACCGTACTTAGAACACAGGACATAAATAGATTTTTCGAAAACATCAACTCGAAGGCAAAGGTAATTCAATTCACTTATTAATTGGAAAGCCAGAAGGGTAACTTTCAGTATTGGATTGTAGCATAACAAAGAAAGAAGATGGGAGGTTAACCACTCGTGTGTTCACAGGAAACCAACACATTCAAACCGATATTTGGATTTCAGATCATCCCATCCTATGTCAGTAAAACCAGGACTAATGAAAAGTTTAAACAATAGGCTACAAAACTAAATAGTACCAAGGAAGAGTTTAGATAGGAAGTGAGGCATATAAGCGAAGCTTTGAAACTTAATAATTACCCTGATAAATTAATCAGGAGGTATGTAGGTGACTGTAAAAATAAAATTAATAATAATAATAATGACATACATGTCAAACATGCACAGAATGATGACATTAAGGAATTTAAATCGTAAGCAGTACTTCCATACATAGAAGGAACCTCGGAAACCTTAGGTCACGTTCTTAACAATGCAGGAGTAAAAATGGCCTTCAAATTAACAAACTCAATTAGAAATAAGCTTTATCGTCAATGAATCCTGTGGTGCCAATTAAACAAAATAATTTAGCTTATCTAATACCCTGCAATAACTGTCAGGTCAAATACATAGATAGGTCAAAGTAGTAGGAAGGAGCAGTCAAGCTAGTGGAGCACAAAACTTGCCAAGCTCAGATTAGTTCAGCTGTAGCACTACATGCAACTATAAACACAACCATACAATAGGATGCGATTAGATGACAGTTCTAAAATCTAATATAGCAAGTTGGAGGGAGAGGTTGATAACTGAAGCTTTCTTACGAGTTTAACCACGGACAGATATCAGTTAGAGAAACACTGAAAACCAGGGAGTACTGGACAGCTGTTTCACCCTAGCTTGGGAGTCAATCTGAGTCAATTCATCAAGTCTGCAAGTATTTATTCTTATCATCGTCTCGGGAATTCAGCCTAGCAACTTCCAATATTATTCAGACCAGAGTAATTACTGACTTCTATATTGGCGCCAACATGTGACCTAATTAAACCAAACGTCTTTCTATTTCTTCGCAGCACATCCGTCTCTTCTATTCATAATTGATAAGATTTTGAGACACAGTAAGAAATAAGGCGGTTTTTAGTAAAACTTTAGCATGAAGCCGATTGGAATTCTATACTTTGTTTCTCCTGATTTGGTGTGATGCGCAGAAATACACTATTATTTATGAGCACAATTTATTGGATATTCTGTCGCTAAGAACACTGATTGACATTGTCTAAATAGATCTATGGAATCTTAAGCACTCATCAAAAAATTAATCGACATACGAGACAACTGTTGTGTTATAGGTAAACCGTATTGAGTCGATAAATCAAGATTCTGTTGTCCATGATACAAACCGACTGACTGACTTTCAAAGCAGGACTTTGCACAGAAGTGCAGCACTTCAACATACTAAACTCCATGCACCACAAAGGTACGGGAAAGGTAAAATTCAAAAGAACTCGAATGAACTCGAGAAAGAAGAGAATGCACCTACGCCAAAGACAAAAATTTTGAGCCACACCAACAAGTCTCAAGTAATAGGTTTCTAGACTTTTGAGGACCCCAGCTAGGCTATTCTCCACCGCCCTACATGACTCAAATCAACTGTCAAAGACTTCATCATTTGATGCCAGATTTTGATTCGATCACTCCTAACGCTTCTCCAAACTCATCTGACAGCGGCTAAGAGTGCTTAACGAGAAAGGAGACGGCATCTTGTCATGCGTAACTTTATGCCTTAACCACCACAATCGATGTTGCTTCACGACCTCATCAACTGACTCTCCCTTCTTACTTGACACTCTCTACGCGTAACTCCAATATTACTACTTTATTATTAAAACATTGAATAAGAGGGAGGTAAAGTACAAACATGTGTACGCATAAAATTCAAACAGTTATCAATACGAAACTTCAGAATTGAATGTTTCAGTCTAAGGAGTAGGTTAATTCAGCAACTTCATCGAGGGCAATGGCATCGGTGAACTCAAAGACTCACTGCACACCTAGCTAGCTAGCTACTTTTATAATTACAACACATTAAACAACTCTGTTAAATAACTCTATGGAGTAAAAATCCTACAGATAATTTCGACCCATTTACTACTTGAATCATTTGCTTATATACCTCAATCTGCATACTGTAAAAGAAACAATTATGTTGACCATAAAAATAATAATAATAATATATACTTACATCAGATGCATGAGACGGAACAGTGGGTGAATTCACACTAGAATTCAACTGGGGATAGGAAGACCAAGAAGAACAAAAAGGACTAGTGACAGAAGAATGAAGCTCACTAGAAACACCAGAAGTCCAAAATCCGGATAAAAGGCCATGAGTAGATCCAGTAACTGAATCTGATCGACCTGTTTTACCCCAACTCGATAAGACTGGGCATAAACCACGGAGAAATACTAAATTACAGACAACCACATGGCTATGATTAGGAGGATATAGGGCCTAAAAGAAAAAAAGGAACAAAATTAATTACATAATACGGCTGATATTAACACATTCATTCTTCGTATCAATATTCATACACTGTATTTTCAAATAGATACCAGTCTATAATAGTGACTTTTATATTCCATCAGTTTACACACCTAAACAAGAACTAACAAGTCACAGGATCCGAAACCCTTTCCATACACTATGCACTGGATAGCTAAGCAACACCCCCTAAACCTCATTAAATAAGCGTGTCTCATTCCATCATAAATAAATCTGCAAGCAATTGTATACCTGAACTGGTTCGAAAACTGATCTGCTATATTTCCAAACTGTTGTCGAAATTAATATTATTTCTCCCTTAAGGTCCCATGTAGAAGAGTGTACACCACATCTCTATTTCATCCTGTTCCCTGCAGTCCTCTTTAGCTGGCTTCAGGGCTTGCCTCTAGGCTCTCATTTCCTCTTCACATTATCTCCGTATTACCCTCAGATGCCCAACTCCTCGCCTCCCGCTTGCACACCACTCGATAATCTGTCTGCAGCTGAATGTCTCATCAACCTATTTCCAATACATCTCCAGTCTGCAATTAGATGGTAACCAGGAGACACACAATTCTATCATACATGGAGAATTTAAATCAGTTCATTTTATGCTAAAACTTGTGCTGAAGATGTTGTCTAGGAGGATGACGAAAGCTCCACAATTAAACCAACCAGCTCAGAGAACACAACCACTTGCAAATCATCCACCTGAGCTACAAATCTTCTCTATTATTAATCATCTCTAATCTTTTCTGTATATTACTTCAGCAATAGATTGTCTTTGTTAGTTCGTTACCAGAGACGTTTTCGTTGCTTACAGTCTCCAGATAGACATCTGATTTTAGTTATCAAGTGAAAGTAGTTGCTGATTAAAGTCTGCAGCCTGTTGGCATCCTATTATCTACTGTTGTTTGTTTCATCATGAATCGATATTATCAGTTGGAAGACTTGTGAAACCAAAAAGTACTAGACTGCTTTTCATCCTAAATTAAGGACTTCTTGACAGTGCACACTCATGATCCCACCGTGGACAGAAACCACGACCTTCAGTATATTAGGCGAGCATTTTACCACTCAGTCACAGGAACAGAATCCATGAATTATAACTTCTGATGTCAGCTCATGATGAAATCCTCCATGCAATCAAACAAATCCCTACAAAACCAATGCTTGAAAATTCATCTGATGTTCACTAGCGACTGGCCCTATTCAGGCAGTTAACCTTGGATTCTAGTGGGAAGCCGTCACCAGTAGGGTACAGCAGTCAAGATGAGGCAGTAACTCATTAAAAAGACATTGTGGAATGGTCGCGCTATTTCGTGAATTGTAAAAAGTTAGAATTCATGCACTGGCCATTCGATCGGGTCCCGGTGGCTCAATGGTCTACGAGCTCGCCTTGTAACCAGAAGGTCCTTGGTTCGAACCCCGGTGGATGCGTACTGATGAAGAGTCTCAAACTAGGACAAAACAACCGTCCAGTACTCCCAGGTTTTCCAATGGTTCTCTAACTAATGTCAGCTCACGACAAAATCCTCCATGCAATCAAACAAAATTTCTACAAAACCAATAATTGAAACTTCTAACTTCTGTTGATTTGTGCTGTACAACGCCAGCGCCGGTCAATGTCATCTGCGAGTATTTGCCCCCACACCACCTAACCTGGTGAACAACAACATAAGTTACAACCATTGGAGAACCAGCTAGGAGTACTGGACGGTTGTTTCGTCCTAGTTTTGGACTCTTCATCGGTACCCATCCAAAGGGTTACAAGGCGAGCTCGTAAACCGTACAGCTACTGGGACTCAATTCCACGGCCCAATTGCCAATTCACGACAAAAACCAATACTTGAAGAAAGATTTATGTTGCCTCACAGAACTATCTCACCAGGATTACCAGATACACAATGATTAAGAGCAAGTCAGCATTGAACAATGTTGTAAACTAAGCCTTACATTGGTAATTCACTCCATATATGCTGGATTATGGATAGGCGCGCATACCGGTTGCTGAAATAACTAGTTTATGATTGTAGTATCTTAGTATTTTTATTTTTATTATTTTCTGTCTAAAACCAATGATTATTAATTACAGTGTAGTAAAACAAATAAGGAAACACGATTATATATATATACCCCCCCTCCGCAGAAAATTTAGAAAAACATGTTTATACCTGCAATTCAGAATAGATCCATCTCATTTGTAAAGGGAATGTACGAACATGTGAAATAAGATCATCTACAACAATTGACAGGAGATAATAATGCCATTCTTGTACACGTGTATGGTGTTGCAGTGTACCTGAACACAGAAAAAGCCATAGCAGTAATAAAAATATAATAATAATAAAAGTTTCATTTTCTAAATAACAAACAAGAAATGAATTATACATAAAACACAGTTTAGTAACCATGTAGACATTTTATAATTGCATCAGAAATTCTATCCACCTACTATATAAAGCAGGTAGGTAAATTAGCTGCCCAAAAAGAAATGCACGGTTTCCAATGAATGATTTAGTTTTATCTTCTCCATGAAGAAATGTGTATTGACTAACTTCTTTATTTTTATAAGTTAAGTGAAGTTAAAGAGTTTTTCACCCACCAGTTTCGGTAGGAGTATCTTAGCAAAAAACTTAAGTCGTAACTACTGAGGCATAACTGATAACCCAACCTGGATGCACGGTTTGAACTAGTGACAAACCCGGCCTAGTGTGTCAGGGTTTTTATCGTAACCACCTAAACCAAGGTGAGGGGTTTAGAGCTCCAAGACCACAGAGTCACGTTTTTTCAACAACAATAAGTGATGCCATGATTCTGTACTATTATACTTCGTGAAATTCTCTCTGAAAATATACTTTAATGCATGGATGCAAAAGCATCATAAGCACTGACTAAGAAGCACTTAGAGAGTTTACATAAGGTTCTTTTTTTCCTTCCTTTGTGTTCTGAGTGGAACATAGAACTTCATACTTGAAATGCGAACTTTCAGTAGCAGTGATTTTAATTTTATAGAATGGGGTGGCGCTAGCCACACACGCCTAACCTTCTCTTTCCTCACTGGGCTTACTACTAACACAAGTTAGGCGAGCTGTAGGAGATTTCATATTAGTTTGTTTATTAGATGTATTACACAGTGAGGGAAACAGTATTATTTACTGGATGACGTTTCGAACAAAATTTATTGTTCATAATCATATCAATTGTGACACAATTACTTACTACCACAGTGCCCAAGTTTTACACATATATTAACAGGAGCTGTAGGAGTATGTTGGCTAAGAATCAAAACTAGACCAAGTCCATAACTGGCAAGCATTCTACACCACTGACCCACCGATGCACTGTCTAACACAGGTAAAAACTGACCTCATATTTGAGTGCAGAAACAAACCAATGTGACATAAAATCTTTGCTTCTTTCTTGTAGTCAAGTTTATGATGCATTCACTGAATCAAACGAATAAAAGTGTCATTATCTGAATAACTTACTCAAATTTGATGTAGGAGAGGAGGCTTGATCAAATGTTACAGTTGTATCAGCTCCAGTCGACAATGAACACGGTCGTGTTGTCAAGGATTGATGAGAATTTACACTATTTGTAGACTGATAAGCACTTCCAATACCAGAACGATGTTGGTAACTTGATGTAGACTTAGAATTATTATTACCATTGCAAGTATTATTATTACAATGAACTTGACCACTACAATTTAAAGATGGATTTGATGATGAAGTTGAATGACTAGATGTTGGCAATGGTCCTGGAGGAGGACCTTCAAGTGCTTTTTCGCATACACGTCGAAAACATTGACTTCGCCAAGCTGAACAAACAGTATTACTATACATATCTAGAATTTGTGCGCCTAAAGAACTACTCCGAAAAGAAGTATCTAAGACAGAAAAAAAATGAGAAAAACGCTTTACAATAACAAGTTAAAAAGACGGAACAAACAATCGATTTCCAATCGACTGAGACAATACTAGAATTCTAATTCAATTATGACAATCACCTATCTGACCATCTGAAGGGATGGTTACGCAATATTAAATATTGCCTGTGATAGACACATTATGATTGATCAGTGTGTGAAACGCGTAATGATCAAGGGGTTGATCACCTGGAAAAACTACAAGTGCATGCATCATTCGTATTAGTTGACTTCTAGGAAGTGCAACATGTTATTATTTGTCGTTTGACAGTAACATTGGACACTTGATCAATTAATATTTACCAAAAGTCCCTGAGACTACACTTGAGTTAACGTTGGGACTATGATTTTTGGCCGATAGAACGATATAACCCGATAATTCAAGGTCTATTTATGAACAAGTAGAGCAATTTCCTTAGTTTTAGTTGGCTATATACTACATTGTGACATCATGTGCAAATATTTTGCACAGAGAAGAGACAGATGAAGTAATAAACATGGGATGAAAATTGTTAGTTAACATAGAAAGTATGAAATGAATAGGAAGCAAAAGAAAAGATATGTATGAGGTAGCAGAACGCAAATAGTTTGTGTGAATTGGATTTAGCCTCTAATGCATGTAATTCCCTTAACATACATTGGTGATCCTCATGTACTTCGTCACAACTGATGTCAATGCCTTCGACTAGATGAAAATCCCCTACGCATCAACTTTTCCTAGGAGGCAAGACATATAGTTACCTGGAGAACTTCCAGGTAGTTGTAGAGTTGGCAGACAATGAAGAGTCTCTGGCTAAGGTGTTAGTGCTGAGGACATTAGTGAAACATTGAGAGAAGAGTGGAACAGACAGGCAGCAGACGAGGCAATAGAAGATGTCACACTGTGACCTACATACCGTTTTTTTTCTTCACGTTCCCCAGTGAATTGTAAGGCTTCAAGCTAGAACTTTGAGGTTTCGGTAGCAGTGGTATTGTTCTTACGAGGTGGAGTTGTTAGTCTCACGCCCAACCTACCCTCTAGTACCAGTCTTACTAATGGCTTAGCGAGGTTAAGAAATGAGTCAGTCGGGGATCGAACCCCGTTCAATGTGTAGGGTTAGCAAGTGTTCTACTGCTGAACCACCAACGCACCATTGTAGCACATGATACAATAAAATGCAATACTCAAGATTTACATTGAATAACTTAATGGCTTAGAGAATAAATTAGATTCACAATACCTCTTGGACTAGCAACAGCTGCTGCTAACAGCAATTTAAAACAGATAAATAACACTAACAATAGTGACGATAATAATAATAGTAATATCAACAATAAATCTTACTTGGTTTATCATTATTTACATCAATACGTAATAAATTGACAATTAATTCCAAATGGCAATTCAATTCGATTGTAGTTAAAAGAAGGCTGGAGACAAAATTCGCTTTTCTTACACCAAGTGTTAAAGCCTTCCAAACGTGAATACACAAAGGTACTAATTCTGAATGCAAACAATTGAGTATTGTCTGTGTAGTAAAACCAAAAAGAAAAGAAAACAACATTATGGAAATTAAACGCACAAAAAAATTACTCTGGAATATCTCAATAATAATAAAGAATGCCTATAATTAATTGAATATAATGATGTTAGGTTACAAGTTATCAAGATCCAGGTTCTATTCCTAGCTTAGACAATCCTAAACTTCGTCTAGAAGATAGTGAGGCCGGTAAGCAGGGAAGGTTAGAAGTGAAGTATGCAAGCTACACCACTATGTAAAAAAACAGTACCACTACTGAAATCACAAGTCTTAAGCCACATATTCCACTCGAAGGATAAAGGAGTGAAAAAGGGTTAAATCTTCCAGTAACCATCCTTAGAATGATTTGTATCAAACGCTCATAATGCACGACACGTATCCGAATCTTCAAGGGGACATCAGTTACTTCAGTGTGGCGGATACACAAAGAATCACAACACTTAGGTTAATGGCTGAATGCTTCCAACCATGTATACGTGATTTAAAACGCATCACAATGACGAGTCAGATAAGTTAGCGACGAATGCGATACTATTTCGGTTGGTGATGACTAGCATTGGATTCCATAATGTGCATTTCGTCGCAGCTGGATGTTCCTGCAGCCCGCCCACCCACCAGTAAGCGATGTTCCCACTCAGACTTATCGTAACAAATGCCAAAGCATTATCTACTAGACCACGGGAAATGCAAATGATTTAGGAATTCGAATTCACTATAATAGTTCACGTGCACACAATCAAGGGATTATCAAAGTTGATAAAGATTAGTACTATAAACGACAGATTTATTTTTCTTATACTATACTATAACAAGACATATAAGCGAGCAATATTGTTTTCAATTAAATCTTAGTCAGGCTTTACCCTAATTTACATAGATTTATATATATATGAATTTTTAACCAATGATGGCGATTTTGTAGATCACATAACAATAATAATAACAGTGGTAAATGTTTTGAACGCAATTTATATGGATGATAATGATAACAAAATATTGATAATAAGGTTTATGCAGGTGACAAGAATAACAAAGGTAGTATATGTATATGTAGACAATTCAATATATGAATAAATTCGGTCAAATCTTGAAAGTTACGTAATACTAAAGGTGAAGTGGACAGATAATCAGAGTTTAAATTAATATCAAAAAAGTACGAAGGAGATGGAAAATAAGAAAGGGTGGGAGGGTTTTGAATAGAATTCATCTAGGCCAAGGGAGAGACAAAGGTAGAACAAACCTCTTTTGTATGCATAGACTAGGATTGTTCCCTCGAATTCCAATAGCTCCGGCTATGTGTAAAAGGCGGGTTCGAATTCGGTGCGAAAGGCTCGATGAAGTGAGATAGATAACTTTGAAGGCACTATTTTCGCCCACTTGGTGACCGCTATCAATCAAATGAGCAAAAATAGAACTCCTTATAGATTTTATTTGACATTTTCCGAACCATGAAGGAAGATGCTCATTAATGCGTTTGTTAAGCCGTCTCGTTGTTCGCCCTATATAGTTCTCTCCACAGGAGAAACTAAATTTATAGATAAACATAGAAGTGGCACAGCTAGGTCGCTTTCCTTTCACTTGCGCAACCATAAATGGTCGGCTGGAAAATGACAAACAAAGGGTGGCGGCAGTTCAAGTCCGTTTTATCGCTCTCGATAATCTCATATGTAAGACTTCGCTAGCCACGTCCCCATCAAATTGCAGTTTCATGAACAGTTGTTTCTTTTAACTGTTGTCAGTTTCTCTTTACTGTTCCTGGTGTTCATGTGTCTCCTTACAAATCTACCAGGATAACCCATTTAGACTAACGTATTTTGGATGTATCCTAGCTCATTTTCTAGGGAGTCATCTGTGCAGATACGTTTGCTCATTTTCTGAAAGCGACATTTCGGAAACCACAAGTCTATCGCTCATGAGCAGTGTTACTAAGAAACACATTTAGTCTCATAAATTTCTTCTCGAAATGATACACCACATTCCAACTTATGGAAGAAAAAACAAGAGGATACAAATTACATTTTGGTGATATATACAGATACTACTAAATACCTACTACTGAAAAATGTAAATTTATACTCAAAAGATAGATGTGACACTATATCACCGATCGACAGAAGCTGAAAATCATTAATCCTCTGATTCCAAAGCCAGTGGTTGAATGGAAACATGCTCACCTTGCTACCTAACAGTCTTAGATACGACGTCTAACATGGATTTCATACAACAAGAGTTACCGAACTTGTTTTTGTTTTCAGAAACGATGACACGTAAACACATGAATATCAGGAAACATAAGAACACTTGCTTCTATAATAATTGTGCGCATATTCTTCAAGTATACAATAGAAAAAACCTGGGACTTTCATGTTTCCTGTCAAATTTTATTGTTTCTTTTTTGACAAAATACAAATGGAAAACAAAAACAAACAATCTGTAGTAGAAAGATCTTCAAATCATGACGAAGACAGTTCGCATGGATGTTTTTATTTCTTGGAATACACTATCACCCACCTTCGTACCTATGAAATGCATAAAGGAAGAAGCATACCACCCTGCTCAACAAATGCATACAAATTTCTGCACAACTGGCGGGCCTGCTTAAAACTTGGGCTATCAAAAACTTTCATCTCCCTAGTGCATGCATTTCCTCTCATTCAGTTTGTTATAAACGATTAAGATATGACCTCTTTTGGTACTATCGACTCCGGTGTGTATTTAAAGTGTTTACAAGATCCTGATTCTCAAACTCCTAATAAACTTGAGGAACGGCCTTATTGTGGGTGAGTGGCAACATGTCCCAATACATGAGATAACTGTTCTTCAGTTATGTCGTTAGGTCTCAAAATGTACTTCTGAGCATCTTACAATTGGCTTTCATCTAGATCGATATCGTAGATTTCTTGAATGAAACAAAGCAGATATATCATATTGGAATAGCTTGTGATTCAACTCAGGGAGACTATTGTGTCACAGGATTTACTGTCAATTAATATTTTACTTGAAGATATTGTACGAAGGGAAAATATCATGTAACAAACTGTTCATTTTATGAATACTCTCCAAAATACAAAGATGTTATTATTAAAATAATAAATATATAAAAGCAATCTTTAAGTTAATTGTCTAAAGCTCTGTAACATGGTTTGATCATTCATGAAACTAACATTGTCTCCTATAATAGTAATAGTATTAATAATACTCTATTATCAGAAGCCTGCATGAATCACTAGACTATCTAAACTTTCAGCCAACACATAATACATCGAATTTTCTCTATTTCTTATTGTTCCAATCATTCATGTATGTGATTGGTCGTGAAATCTACTCATGCACATTTTTCATTGACTTTCAACCTACCGATCCACTGTGCATTTCTCAGAGACGAAGAAACAATATCATAGGGCATTAATTAGTCACTACAGGTGAACATAGGGAAAACAGAGGTGATGAAGATTCCTGACCAACAACAACAGACAAGAATCAGCCAGCATAAATTGGAGGAACCTGAAAGAAACAACCACCTTTACCTACGCCACCCAGGGAAGCATCGTTTCAATTACAAGCGGAACTGACAAGGATATCAAAGCAAGACAAGCTTTCATTACTCTTAAGTCTGTGTGGAGGTCAACAGCACTCAGCATCAAGAATAAGATCCAGATTTGCAACTCCAATGTGAAGTCAATCAGTGCTACTATACGGATCAGAGATTTGGCCAGTGCGTCATAAAGAGCATCTCAAACAAACTTCAGACCTTCATTTACAGTTGTCTACGCTCAATATTACTCAAGATCAGATGGCTGGCCAGAAAAGATCAGCAACAGGGATCTTTGGCAATGAGCGAACCAACCAGGAACTGATTGTGAAACAAATAGGAAGGAAGAAATGGAGATGGATTGGCCGGCCATACTCTGAGGAGACCATCAAATTGCGTCACTAGACAAGCCATTGCTCGAGTGGAACCCGAAAGGGAAGCGGCGAGTTGGTCGTCAGTGCGAGGGTGACTTGGATGAGGTCATGTGAAGAGGAGATGAAAGCTTGTGGGTAGACTTGGAGCCGGGTGAAAACTCTAGCAGAGAACCGAACGCAATGAAGACGCACAGTTGAAGCCCCATGTTCCTCAAGGAAAAATAATAATTAATTAGTCGAATTGTGAACAGCATTGTATCACATGCTATTTTAGCTGAGATCCTGGATGAACAGAAAGTGTATTACGCAATAAATTACTCTAAGAATTTTGAATACTGTGTAAACATTTTGTCCAGAACATAGCTATTGTTATTATTTTAAAATAGGGAAAACAGGCAAACATTTGGTATATATATATATATATATATATATATATATATATAAACTAGAATATTCAACCGTTTAAAATACACATTCTAGGCTGACAAGATAAGATACATTGAGCATAAAAACACTATAGTATTTATTACCTGACGAAAACCTTCATAATACTGAAATGGTATAACATGTAATTCTCTATGAATAACAGTTATCTGCCCATTACTACGTTCTTGTTTATCACAAATAGAATAATGCAATACTGCTGAAGATGAAGATAATGAGGATGAAGAAGAGTGAATAACAGAAAGTCGTCTATCATGATCAGTTGTTGCAGAACAATTGGAATTACTCCCCTGTTGACGTGCACCAACATTGTATTGTACAAGATCTAAGTCTACAGCAACTTGACGCGAAAAAAAAATAATAATCAGAGGGTATGAAAGTATACACAGATAGTAGCATTAAATTGAATAACACTAATGTGAAATAATAATAATAATCGCAACTAACTCGCAATATCTACTTAGACTTCGTTAGCAAGCGAAGTGAATTAAAGAAGTTTATGGACAGTGGGGTTCACCATGTTTGATGTCCAAAAGATTCTGATCTATAGCATTAGTTGAAAGTGTCAGTGTATCGCAAAAAGATAAAAACGAGAGTTGGTGCGTCATTATTACGCCAATGCTCAGTGGCTAAATGTTTAACGTGTTCGCCTAACAACCTGAAGGTTCTGGGAGTCCAACCCTCGTTGTGATCGTGTGTTAGGAAGACAGCTGTAGAGTGGTGCTTTTGGTTTCATTTATTCCCTAGATGATGTACATCCGTGATGAGATCTACGTTGAAATTATTATAATATCTACACAAGGTAAAATTCGAATTCATAATACGTTTTGGGATAGGATAGAGAGCAGCTTTATGAAAAGTTTAATTGCTTGCTAGTACCATATCCTCCATGCGTGTGGCTTGCGAATAGCTTTTTAGGCTTCATTACTATGCACCAACTTAATATTCTGCTTGCTTTTGTGATAGCAATTTATGATACTAACCAGATAACAATACATTGTGATTTGAATACTCTGACTTTATATTATTATTATTAATATTTATTATTTTTGATTACAGCTTGATTCCACACTGTATTTTTGGTACAAGTATGGAATTTTCAGCGTGGATATCGGTAGCCCAAATTTCGCACGCCAACCATAGATACCAGGTGTGCGCCAGCGTGGGCTCGAACCCCGGACCATGTAGATGGTCGGTGAGAGTCCTAACACCATTGTGCCACCGACGCACACAGAGGAAACCATGGTGAAGTTTAATCTTCACCTGTGTAATTTGTTAAACATGGTATTTTCTCACAAACCATTGTTTTATTTGAAAGCAAGTGAACATAGAAAAGACGAAGGTGAAGAAGATAACCAACCGACAGCAACAACAACAACAACCAGCACCAATCACTAACGATTGGAAAAATTCGAAAGGATTGGAAATAGGATATCTGGGGACGAACAACCAAGAACCTATTGTCCAACATATATGATGAAGGAAATGGAGATGGATCGGGCATACGCGAGTTGGGTGTGGGTCCGAAGGTGAAATACAGCTGATCGTGTGACGAGGAGCTCATGAGCAATCTTGAAGTCAGCTAAAGAGGACTGTAGAGAACAGGACAAATTAGAGATGTGCTGCTGACGCCCTATGTCCCACTCGAAACCCATGGGAATAATAATAGTAACGTAACGAAAGCCTATTCGTTTCATTCATTCTGTGCTGAGTTTAAGTTACTCATAACCTTAAGATTCACACAATAAAAAATTTCATATTCAAACAGAAATACCCATCATTCTTGAACTTAATGGGCAAACATTAGCATATTTCATCATAAATATGTCAGACAATGTAACCGCGCAATTTTTCATTCATATATTGAAAGGTATGTACTGTCATGTACACTGAACGATCTATACATAAAATCATACAGACATACATAGTTATTGTCTCATTATCCCACTGAAACAACAATATTAGTATTAATCAATCCATAGTGACTCAAGAATGAATAATGGAAAACAAGATAAATTCCAGACGTTCAATGGACAGCCTTCTATTACGGTTCACGGCACATTAGTAAATCCTAGCAAACATATGTTTCACCTTCAAAGAGGTACGGTGATCGTTTCCTTTAGCATTCTAGACTCATCTCATCTACTTGCTGACGTACTATTTAAAAGTGAACGACTAATCATACTGAGATGCAAATGATGAAGAAACGTTTCGTTCTGACAAATTATTTCCAACAACAAAAACATCACACTGTGCAATAGAATTTTTTGTGTAGACGAAAAAATAAGCCAAAATCACGAGGAGACGTGTGGTGCATGCTAGAAAACAGTTGCACAACAAAATGAAAAATTCTACATCGGTAGGAAGGGAAAGAATAGCTATTACGGGAGAAGGTAAACTTTAGACCTCAATGCCCATGAAAAGCCTAATCAACAAGTTAGTGAAAGCAGATAAATAAATAACATCATTATTAGGGGTAAAATGTGCTTAATGGAGTGTTGTGATATTATAAACGGGATACCTGGTTAGTTATAAGTTGGGCCAGAAGCAAGTTAGGGACAAACTGACCTAACTAGAGAAATATTGGTGTGTTAGGTTAGGAATAGATTAAGGCAATGGGGTTAGGTTACAGACATATTAGGATTAGCTTTAGTAGACTTAAATTTACCTTTCAACGCTACAGCTTTTTCCAAGGTATTTAGTGTGTTCGATCCTCTTTGGTGCCTAAAGTTTAACTTTGCCGCATTATGTAACGGATGTGGAAATAAACTATCTAAAAGTACGAAAATGGAGACTCAGTTGGGAGTAGGGTGAAGTAAAATACTTATTAAAACAGGGAAGCAATCAGATAACAGATAGTAAGACTATCTGAGAACATATGAGATGAGTCAGAGCACTGTTATCGATATGCGTGATGGTTTAAAAGGGAATGAAAACTTGGATCTCGTGATTCACTATGTGATTAGGATTGACAGAAGAAGACGCAGTTGAGCAAAAAGTAAACTCTATGAACGGAATAAATTTAAAAGAGGTTACTTCCTTCACTTATCTAGGAAGCATCGTTTTAACTGCAGGCAACAGCACGGATGAGGATGGCAAGGAACACCGTCATCACTCTGAAATTAGTTCAGAAATCTTCTGAACTCAGCATGAGGGACTAATTCAGATCTTCAACAACAATATCAAGTCAGCCAGTTCGTCCGTATTGGTTAGAAACTCAACACGAGAGTTACAACAACATTTCTAACAGCGTGTTGCAAACTTTTATCAACCAGCTGTCTTTGCTAGCTCCATATTGAAGATCGGATGGCTGGCCAGAAAGAATTGCCAACAAGGCACTCTGGGGAAAAACAATAACCAAGAACTTATTGCTCAACAAATATTCCAAGGAAAACAGCGATGCATCAGACATATGTTGAGGAGATCGTTGGATGGCATCGCTCAAGTGGAAGCCGTGTAGGAAACGAGTTGCGTGTGGGTTCGAGGGTGACATAGAGGTGATCTTGTGATGAGTATAGCACTATTTATTGAACATATAGTCAACGCTGGTCACTCAATATGCACAGAGAATTCATTCAAAGTCATCTACAAAAGAAGCCCTCCAAAAACGGTAAACTTTCGCACACTTTACAATGTCGACACCTTAGCGATCCGGATAAAAAACCCTGATTTATGCACACAGAAGGAACTTCTCCACCCCATTCTTTTACTTTAGGCATAACTCCAAGTTGTACAACTTTGTTAATAATGTTTTGTTTTCTTGTTTTAGTTTTTGAAGTTTTTCATGGCAGCTTAGTAATACCTTCTTCTCTTAACCAAAGCTTTATTTATTCTTTCTACCTATTACACAGTTTATTTTTTGAACACATGTCTCCATTAACATTCTGTTTCATATGACTCAACCCTAGTCAATACTTACCAATCTCCACTCCTCTAGTTACAAGTTTGATTATTCATCACATTTTAGGCACATTTTGATGATGTGAACAGTAACCTTAACTAATTTGTATTTTATTATTGTTTGGAAATCCTGATGTACACTCACATACACACAAAAAAATTACATACGAATGTGATTGTACAGCTAACTGAATGAATGCGCCTAAAAGACATTCTTCACTGAACTTTGTTGTTTTTATATCCCTTTCTGGATGGGTATTTTCCGTGAATTTGTAAGTTAGTCTATTTTTAAGTGATATAATCCCATTTTCTCGTCGTAAAAAATAGCAACACAACCCCTAAGACCGACTGAGTTTTAAAACAGACACTTCAACTTGTCTCAGCTAATGTAACACACAGAAGTGGAGAAAAAAAAAGAAAAAAAAATTCGAGCCTTTAATGGACTTGAAAAACTACAACGACTGAAAGCATTTGCACCATTGAAAACGATTTTGAGCCATATTAACAACAGTCTCAAGTCACTGGTTCTTAGAGTCTCGAGAACTCTAACCATATACACTAAACTTCCCTCTACATGGCTCAAACCAGCAGTTAAAGACTTGATGAACTAATCCCAAGCTTTAGTTCGACCGACTCTAACTCTTACCCAACCTAACTATATGTCAGCTAATATCGTCCGACAAAGGTGGTGGCTCGATTTGTGCAAAACGTACAACTTTAGAAAATTTTCTTGAATGTTATCCTTGTTATGTGCGATAAAGAAAGACCGAGAGAATCTTCTACACACTTTCAACAAAATTCATTCATTAAGGAAGTACAATTCGGTGGATAAATGAAAACAAATGTACTATCCACTGCACATATACCTCATCGACTTAAGCACTCGTCTTTCAGCCGATGGGCCTGGATTTCAAGCTGCACTCTTCGCCAACGCCAGCCTCGGCATGTGAGTAGCATCACCACGCCTCATACGATGAGTGTGACTTATTCCAGTTCAAATATTAAATTATTAATTGTTACTCAATAAAAATAACTGCAAAATGTGGATTAAGAATATAGTTTCAATTTGAATTATGATCAATCTTTTGTGTTCTTAAAAGGAATAATAATAATAATGGCTTTATTCCACACACCACAATGAATGTGCAAAAGTACAGTTTGTGCTCAGTGCAAAGCATATTTACCAGTTCTTTAGTCCGCGACTGACTGGTTTCAACATATAAACCTGCACAGATGTGCACCACCTCGAGTTGCCGAATTCCACATACCACACGGAGCAAGAGAAGAGAGTAAACAGAGGTTCAAAGAGGATAAAAAGAAAAGTGAGGCAAAAAGAAGAATAATATGGAATAATAATAGCAGTATGGAAGAACAAAAGTTCTACTGGATATAAGAAATCACAAAGAGTGAATACATCTGCGCTAATGAGAGTGACCTTAAGCCATATCACAGATAGTCTTCTACCACTGGGTATTTATCCATCCCGAGGACTGTCTGTCTATCTATTTTTGACGTAGAACTTTGCACCAATGTGCACTAGTTCGAGTCGCCAAACTCCCTCCCTGTAGTACACAAAGCAAGAGAAGAAAGTAGAAGAAATGTATAATAGAGACAGTCAACAGAGGTGTGAGACAAAGGAGTAGTAGTAACGAAGAACAATATAGTTTCAATGGAAATCATAAGTCACAAGGAATGGATGCATCTGCGCTGGCCACTGAGAACGGTTTTGAGCCATGTCACTAATTGTTTCCAACCATTGGTTTTTACCGTCCCAAGGACCCCAACCAGTCAGGAAGTCTACACCTTCCTACGTGGCTAACTTAAACTAACTGTTGTGGATTTCATTGACTGGTGACATGTTTTGGTTTGACCTCCGCTAGCTTTTTTCTAGCCTGACCCTATATCAGCTAACATTGCCCGTTGTCGAGGAAGGCGATGACTAGGCATCCGTAACACATGTCCTAACCATGTCAGTCGATGTAATTTTGCAGTCTCATCGATTGATTTCCCCTCCCTACTTAGAAGTCAATGCCTAACCTCAATATTGCTCACCTTATTGGACCACTTCACACGGGGGATAGAGCGCAGGCACCTATGATCAAAGACAGCTAATCTCTTCACTTCCAAAAGTACACGAAGCCTTTCTGAGCAGCCCGAGGACTTCAACTTCTTGTTCGTGTAGCGTAGTGTCGTATATATATATATATATATATATATATATATATATATAATGCTTCTCTATGGTTCATTATTCTTATTGAATAATGATTTTCTAGCGTACACTACTATTATCCAGCTCACTCTGAGTAGCTGCAAACCGCAGACTTCCTGTTGTTAATTCATGATGTCTTTGCCTGGTTGAGGCCATCGCGAAGCTAACCACCAACAGCTTCAGATTATTAATGACATGGGTTAAAATTGTTATCAATGGTGCAGATGAATTCACTCCTTATAACCTCATAGATCCATTAAATTCTCATGTTTTTCCAATGTTACTATTCTTTCTCACCCCCCCCCACACACACAAACACACATCTGCTTATTATGGATCATTTGGATTTCTTTCTTTTATATAACTCTGTTTTTTATTACAGCTTGATTCCACACCATATTTTTGTTACAAGTATGGAATTTTCAGCATGTGATATCGGTAGCCCAAATATTGCAGGCCGGCCATAGATATCAGGTATGCGGCAGAGGATGGAACTCCGGACCATGTGCATGATCGGCGAGAGTCCTAACCGCTGTGTCACCGACGCACAAAAATGGGCCAATCCTCGAGGTAATGCAATATGAGTCCGACCCATGGACGAAGTTGAGCAAGCTCACAGCACCCGTCCGTAAGGGAAAAATACAGGTAATTTAATTGGTCTCAGTTTAGAGACCATTGCAGAAATTACACTGCAAAGAACAGATACTGCACATGATCTTAGCTCAGAGAGCCAAGGAGCGATCAACTCGTGTGTGGTATTGTGAAGTACGGCTACTTGGACCACTTGACTTCTATGCAAGGTTCTAATGTTGAAACTCGATGAGTTATCCACCAATTTATTAGAATTTTATTATCTGTAGACAACAAATTCGATTGCATACTATTTCAGAATGATTATCTCGAAACGATATTCTCTTCAGTGTATCGTCAATTTTTCAAAAGCTGATCAATTGTAAGGATAGAATTAACTTCACCACGTATAAATAAATATCACAAGTGATAAAAGGCGTTAACTAAATTACTTCCACAATGACGTTTGATAACTTTGAATATAAGCGTTATTTAAAAAAAAGAAAAAAAGAGACATGAAAACGCATAACGAAATAGGTGTGACTTATAATCTGATATAGTGTAGACTGTGAGTGATACAACAAATCTATAGCAGCACTAACTAAAAAACTACACTTAAGCGCCAATCGCAACGTTAAACACAAGCACAACGACAACAACTACGATTCCACTAGGGCACAAAACAAGAGCAGATAGACACTGTGAACAAAAAAAGTCGTAACTACTCGCAAAAAAATAACACTGACGATAGTTGAACAGAGATGATGTTTTTTTGTATTAGATTTAAATCACCTTGACAACACCAAATTTACTGATAAGCTTAAACAGATGGCAACTACTAGTGGTAGTCCAGTTTTCATAAAAGGTGGCAAATACAACAAGTGCTACAACTGTATGACAATTTCACAATTATAGTTAGTTTAAGGTTATAGGTTATTCCAACAGAAAAGTTTAACATGTGACTACATACACTAAACAAATTATGTTTACACAGTATGGACACAACTTACCCGAACGTTTACGTTTATCCTCTTTCATTAGAACTTCAACTTTCTTAAATCCAAAAGGAAACTCACTAGAAGAAGAAAAAGTGGGGAGATAAAGAGAAGCAGTAATGAGAAAAAAGGGAATTATCATGATTTTACGGGGAGGGGGATCAGAAGAGTAGAAGCCTTATACTCTTCAACAGTTTACATCATAGAAAAATTGTAATCACATGAAAAGGATAGATTAAGTGAGAACAAAAAAAAGCAACTGATCCATATGAGCAGGAACCGAGATCCGAAGAAACTTCCATCATTCGATCTAAGTGAAATATTGTAGATGAGTAGGCATTTTCTTCCAATGGATAGAATGAATCTACACCCATTAGCTTAGAAAACAGATCGAATATTACATAAGCTAAAGGAATGGATTCAGTTGAAAGATACTAATAACCCTACAATAACTAAACAAAAGATAATAAGTTCAGACCAATCAAACATTGTGAATAACAATGTGAAATTTAGCACTAAACATGATAAACTAAACCCATTCACAATGAAATACCAAAGTTAGTAGAATACAGAGAGAGAGAGACAGAACAACTTTCACCCTTTATACTGAGATATGAATTCTCTCACTCATCAACGCAAAGTTCTTTTGAATAGGACACAATTGTAAAGACTTTGTTAGCATTGATAGTTTCCACTCCAGGACAATTTTCTTTCTGAGTGGAACATTTATGTGATAGAATAGTCTTTCCAAAGGATGAAACTTGATTACGGAACGTGTAGGATTATAAATGCATAGAAACTGTGCAAACATTAAAATGCTTACACTCTCAGACTAGATTAAGAAATCTTTATTATTAAGCCAAAGCATTTCAAACATGACAACAGAAAAACAGTAACTAAATAAGCATGTGTGGTGTGTGCTACTGATAAGAATATTGCTGAGAATAATGTACTGTGTCACATCAACAAGAATGTTGAACAGAGGAGTGTAGGATTAATTTGAGAAGAGAAGATCCTTGTGAAATGATATATAGAAAGCATGGAATGAAACTAATGCCTGTTTAAAACAGTCGAAAGAAATTGAAATGAACCTCCAAAATCTATACATCGTGTTTACATCGTCACTTGTCAGCAGGATACATCTGCAACTTCCTCCAGTGAATCGAACGAGAGTCAGCCAGAGCAACAGTCCGAGACGTCGCCACTGAACTATTCAGATCTGCATCACACCAAGACGACATTAGTTCCTCCGACATGGTAAATAAGCTTTATTGACAAGCGACATTAACCACAAAGCATTGGCGAATGGCTTCCTATCAACAGCCAACAACAATTTAGCATCTGTTTACAGTATACCACAATGACGAGTCGCTTAGCTTATTTATCAATAAGGAAAGCTTCGCGTTTTGACAGTCGTTTTCATTTTTTTAATTTTTTTTATTATTTTTTATTACAGCCTGATTCCACACTGTATTTTTGGTGCAAGTATGCAATTTTCAGCATGGATATCGGTAGCCCAAATTTTGCAGGCCGACCATAGATATCAGGTGTGCGTCAGCAGAAGATCAAACCTCGGACCATGTGCATGGTTGGCGAGAGTCCTAACCACTGTGCCACCGACGCACAGCAGCATTCTACACTTACCACCTCGATACACAACAAACACTAAGGTAAAATGGCACAACAGAGAGCAGTTCATATAACTCCATTATGGATAAGATTTATTTTGATAAATCACACAGTTATGTTATACTGTAATATTAACTGATGACCACGTTTCGAGCACAAACTATCGCCGCTCATAATCATATCAAGTCACTACTCACACAACTTTTTCCCTTCATTTATATATACATGTGGGGAATCGATTAGATATTGAAATAAAAGTCAATATAGGATAATGTACATTCAGAAATAATAATATGAGTGTTACAATTACAATCAGATGGTTAGTTTTGATATAACTAGTCTTTATACCAGCATACCAATCAATATGGCCTTAAAAGCAGTTAATAAAGAACTAACTACAGATCCTGAATTCACTCATAGGACAAAGCTACCCATTGAAGAAATTATTTTAGGAATTCAGTTATGCTGTCTCACATCTATTATCTTTAAATTCCAAGGCAAAATAATATGGACAAACTGAAGGTGTAGCAATGGGATGGATAACCAATATCTTTATGGACAGTTGGGATAATATTGCCCTTAATACATTTAATCCTACTCCAAAAATATGGTGGAGATATGCGGATGACACTTTCACAGTGTTAAAAACAGAACATATCTCTAGCTTCTTGAAACCTATAAACTCACAAGTAAAGGGAATAAAATTCACATTTGAATCGAAAAATGAACAAGGAAAATTAGCTATGTTAGATTGTGAAATAAAACGAACAGAAGAAGGTAAACTGCACACCAGCGTTTATAAAAAGCCAACGCATTCTAATAGATATTTAGACTTTAATTCATCTCTTCCGTTGTCTGTAAAGGCAGGCTTAGTTGAGTGTCTATCAAACCGAGCACTAGAGCTAAGTAGTACAAATAATACCTAAATAATGAAATAAAACAGATAGAAGGAGTGTTGTTGTTAAATAACTATCCTATAAAATTCATCAAGAAGATCAGAAAAGATCGAAAGCAAAATTTTAAAAATGGCGAAACTAATAATGATAACATAAATAAGAAGGAATATAAGGCATCTGCAATCCTACCATATACGCAGGGAACACCTGAGATCCTATGTAGAATTCTCAACGAAGCAGGAATTAGGGTGGTCTTCAAACCTAAAAACTCTCCCAGAGACAAGCTCTGTAGGCTAAATGACCCAGTTGACCCAATTAGACAAAATACTATAATTTACAAAATACCTCTCAATAACTGTGAGGTCAACTATATAGGTCAAACTAGTAGACCGGGAGTAATCAAATTGTCAACAGGACTGGACTACATCGACGCCTAGTTTAAAAATAGGAAGTGAAGTGGTAGAGCACGTGCGGATATAGGGTCAGGCTGGAAAAAAGCTAGCGGCGGTCAAACAAAAGCTTGGCACCAGTCAATGAAATCCACAACAGTTGGTCTAAGCCACGTAGAAAGGTGTAGACTTCCAGGCTGGGGTCCTCGGGATGGTAAAACTCTATGGTTGGAAACAATTGGTGACATAGCTCAAAATCGTTCTCAGTGGCGCAGATGCATCCACTCCTTGTGACTTATGATCTCCAATGAAACTGTTTTGTTTTTCTTTATTACTCCTTTGTCTCACCCCTCTGCTCACTGTTTCTATTATGCTTTTCTTGTACTTTCTTCTCTTGCTTCGCGTGCTACACGGAGTGTGGCGACTTGAACTGTCGCACATTTGTGCAAAGTTCTATGTCGAAAACAGACGAATCAATTGTCGAACATAAGAATTTGGCTAAGGTAAGAATCGTTGACCACAAGAAGATAAGTAATTTAGAAAAAAGCTCAGCACTACATTGCACTGCATGCATTAACACACAACCACACAATAGGGTGGAAGAGGGTTACGATTCTAAGAAGTAATCTAGGTAGGCGGAGAGAGAGATTGATTACTGAATCCTTGTTCATTGAGTCTACACCCAACAGATGCAACAGAAATGACTCAATGCAGATACCAGAAATATAAAAGATGTTATTACCACCAGTCAAATCAGAAGAGGATGACAAATGAACTCAAAATTCTATTTCAATTCAAACACATCACAACATTCTAACAAGTTACTCATTATGACTATAAAAACACTCGTCTTATTTTCCATCAGATTGTAATTGATCGATAACACTCATATTATTATTTCTGAATGTACATTATCGTATATTGACTCTTATTTCAATATCTAATCGATTCCCCACATGTATATATAAATGAAGGGAAAAAGTTGTGTGAGTAACTTGATATGATTATGAGCGGCGATAGTTTGTGCTCGAAACGTGGTCATCAGTTAATATTACAGTATAACAAAACTGTGCGATTTATCAAAATAAATCTTATCCATAATGGAGTTATGCTCTACAACAGTGCCCAAGTATTATACTTATATCAGCAGGTGATATAAGTGATAGACGGAGTAGGGCTGTTCAGGTAGGAAGATTACGAACTCCAAATAATCTCTGGTGATAGATTTCAGATCTTACAGCCTACAACCATTTGCATTTTGTCGACTTTATAATACCAACAGTCTGCAATTTCAATGTAACTTAAATAGATAGTCAATATGCATTTACATCGGTTTCCAGTTTTTTTTCTCTTGACCATGCTTATACTGATGATGATAAAAGCAAAAGAATAATAAAATTCACTAATCAACTTACTCCAAAAAGACAGAAACAACTGATGAACCAGAATAAGCACGTGCAATTTCTAAACCATCTAAATTAACAGAATAAACTGATTCATCTCGACGTGATTTAGATGATGAGGATGACGAACATGAAGTTAATCTGGCATTATTGAACTAACGGAATGAAAAGAAAAGAAAATGAAAAAAAAAAAATGGTTAAAATAGTTAAATGATTCCAAAGCAGTCTGTAAGATTAGCCAAAATAAAATAATATTGCCGACTAACTATGGCAATAATTTATTGAACACAAGATTACAGATCTCAGTCTTAGTAGAAAGACCAATCGCTCATTGTGGATACAAATACTTCACAGTTGACGAGTCCAAAAAAGGACGAAATGTGTATTCTAAATTCACCACAAACCTCCCCCCCCCCAATCAACCATATAAGATATGAATAATCATCATATAGAAGGGAAATTCCAACACTAATTTTGATGAATAAGTGGTACTTTAAGTTGTATAATGAATATGTTCAACATTCCCAAAGAGTAGCTTTATTTTTGTGACCTCATTACATAAAATCATGCATAAGCATTGTCAGTGTAGTTGAAGATTGAACGATCGATTCATGGTTGTTTGCTCAAACCCAACTCCTTCATATTTTTCGTGGGAGTCATCAATACGGCAGTCATCGTTTCATCGTTCGCTGTTCGGTGGAAGAGAGAAAACTATCAGAAGTATTATCGTGATTATTGTTATAACATTTAGTCTTAGAACTTGTGTATAATAACCTTATTGTTGGTTACATATTGGCGTAAGAATAAAGGATTCTCGAGTCGCCAATCTGTGTTCTGGTTTTTTGCGTTGGCTATTACACATTGTTTCTGAAAGTCTTCCAAGGACAAGGTGAGGTCCAGTGTAGTAAGACCTGGACATTGACAAGCCTTCTTAATCATATTATAAATAAGGCTTTGTTAAAAAACCAAATGAATTATGCTTCAACTTGAACATTCAAAAAGATACATAAGTATGGCATTTTACCAGCTTACTATCTGTCTAATTATCACTAAACAGTCAAATGTAGGAATAGTTTTAGAGATAGCTAAAAAATAGTAATGATGAACTTGCGACGAAATGGACACAATCATCGAAACTTTTGACAATGTAGATGAAAACAGTGGAGACACGAACAATTAGGCATGTAATAACCACACTGTTTGCCATTTAAATATTACTTTATGATAAAAGTGGAATAGTATTTAGCTAAACAACTAAACTTCCCACTTCTTCACATAATACTTTAATGACCCGAATGAAGGAGGTGAAGTGACTGAAAACACGACTGATTGGCTTAAGCATTAATAAGTACTCAGTCAGTCAATGGGTTCAAGGTACAAAATTTCCCCACATCTACGTCAGCCAACCCAAGCTAGGTAGTATTGCCAGCTCCTAAACGGCATAATTGTGGCTCATGAAGTCTAAATCATGCAGAATTTATTCCGATCAAATAAAATAGTGGCTGTTGTCTGATGAAACTGACTGAGAGATGTGGATTCAGAAAATAACCTCTACTTTGGATCTGCTTCAATAGTGTATCCCTGATGAATGTTACTACTAACTGAATAACGTTTCTTTGAAAAGTCTTTAACTACCTTACACACTCAGTTGTATATTAATTTATATCGTTATATATGTATCCTTTACTAGCATTCTGAAAGCCTTCCACATAAAACGTCTCAAGTAGAGTGAAAGATTGACTTGATATACCTTTGTCAACACACTAATAAATAGACGACAAAAAAATTGAATAATTCTTTTTTTATTAATTTCTCCACTAATTAGACGCTGCTGATACACATCCTAAAGTTTTGTATAATACTATGCCTTATACTATACACGAAAAAAAACCCATTAAGACAGCCGGCAGTAAGCATTCACAGCTGAATAATCACTTGAAATTATTTTGCATGACTGTAAAATACCAATACCTACACTAATATATATTAGTATTATCATTCCCTTAGGTTACTGATGGAACAAAGGACTTTGGTAGTACATCATCATCATTTCATGCTATTCACTACATTTCTTTTTAGCTGGCTGTTCTTTTTCTCCACTTTATTTTTCTCTCCTTTTCATAAGACTCCCTTTATGACACTCAGAAGCCCAACTAGTTGTTGCCAATTCGGGTTCCACTCAAGAGAGCATCCTTTCAGTCTTTCCAGGATGATTCACTTCACACTTCACTTATTCCTTTAAGTTTACAGTGGAACATAAGGCTTGAAGCTAGAGCCTTGAAGTTTCTGTAGCAGTGGTGATTATTTTTACACGATGGGGTTGCTAGCCTCATGTCCAACCTTCCCTTACCTTTACCAGTTTTATTACTGGCTTAGCGAGGTAAAGGAGTACGTCGACCGGGGACCGAACCCCGGACCACATGAGGCGTGGTCGGCGACCATTCTGCCGCTGTGTACCAGCGACGCACTTTCCAGCATGATGCGGCTTATTATTTTGCCTGGAGCATGTTTCCACGCCAGTTGTTGCATAGGCTTAAGTCACCACTCTTTAGAAATTTGATAAAAGGTAACCCTTCTTTGCAATTGGCAGGTATCCTTCCTTCCTCATAAACCTTCTGTAACAGTGGTGTGATGACATAGTGAATGAGTAATGGTGACAGTGTTCAATATGTGTAAGACTCTCTTTACATGCATACATTCGTGACAGTGTATAGAACATCAATGAAGACATCTTTTTGATTATAACCTTTGAGTAATGATACACCTGTGTATTCCTGGCAGCAATAACAAGAATATGACATCTCGAATCCAACACCTACAGCAGTAATCTGTTTCACCTCTACATGCAGTAGTGGTTTGCTTCAACTGGCTTACCTCATCTGACCTAAACACTATTAGGCCAAAAAAAATTAAACTTCGCCAAACATACTTCTCTCTTGCCAACTGAGTAGTATCATACACTGTCACAGAAGAATATGGTCCGAAGTAAAGTGCACATTAACCTTCATCAGATGAATAAACTGCCTTACCTAATTTTAGTGTAACTATAGAAAATAATGAATAAATAAATTAGGACAGACTGCCTGATTGAGTTTCAAGGCAGAGCTTGGCGCAAAAGTGAGGCAATTCAAGTTGTCACATGCAATGTAGCACACGAAGGTAAAGAAAAAGGAAATGCAATAGAACTACATAAAAAAACATGTGCATTTCTTTTGTCAGTATATACAAGACTTGTAAAACAATAAAGCAACAAAAACCTACCTTAATTTCCAAACTTCGATAACACCTTAAGTGTGTTTGTCTTAATGAGACATTATCTTCTGTGGCTGAATCAGCTTTTGTATTACGACAGTGTCTTTTCAAACTTGTAATCCAACGTTGATAAACTGTCTCTAAAGTCGCTGGTGGTAGATTACAGTTTGCATGACAACTGGTGTCTTGTGAAATCGTAGCAGAAGTTGTCAGGATTGATGTTGACAACGATGGCGATCTACTGCTACTAGGATTATTATTATTATTGTTATTATTATTACTATTTACAGACATCAAGTTTGAGCGAGCAGCCCACTCACATGAATGCCGACAACAACCTTAGGATAAGAAATAAATAAAAAAAATTAAAGGTTTTATAGATATAAATTAATGACATGACAACTTTTCAGCTCAGCTTCTTGGAAACTGTTGACAATAGATGGACCAAATATACTGTCTGTCTGTCTATCTGTTTTCGACATAGAACTTTGCACCAATGCGCAGCAGTTCGAGTCGCCAAACTCCCTCCTGTAGTACACAAAGCAAGAGAAGAAAGTAGAAGAAATGCATAATATAGACAGTAAACAGAGGTGTGAGACAAAGGAATAGTAGTAACGAAGATCAAAACAGTTTCATTGGAGACCATAAGTCACAAGGAGTGGATGTATCTGCGCTGGCCATTGAGAACGATTTTGAGCCATGTCACCAATTGTTTCCAACCATTGGTTTTTACCGTCCTGAGGACCCCAACCAGTCAGGAAGCCTACACCTACCTACGTGGCTTAAAATAACTGTTGTAGATTTCATTGACTGATGCTAAACAAAACACATTTGTGGTGGATACATCATTCACGAGTCTAACTTAACGCACCCAAGAAACATAAAAGATGAAAGTAAACAAAGTGGGAAAGTTACAAATATTGATTACCAGTTATGTTATGTCACGCTTAAAACAACAACAGTAAACTCTATTAACCAAACCATGTGAAGTTCAGTCAGCTCGATTCAGTTTTCTCCTTCAGTACGACAGCAGATGTTCATAAATAGTGAAACAAAAAGATCAGAAGACCAACATCAGGCTTCTGTACACAAGGGTTTCACCTAGGGGAGTATCAAAACTCTGATTCAATATCAATTGTGTATATACGGAAAATGGCTGAACAACAGTAAAGACGCTTACTCAACGGATAGAGCTGACGACTATTTAAATGTTAGGCGAGCTTTATGGGTCAGTAATAATATTAATTCCACAACTAGTTCATCAGTGACGGTAATAAATTTCAAATAAATAGAGTGAACACCGAAATCGATAGTTTTAATTCCTACTTTACAATAGGATTCGCTAGAGTGGGACAGCTGTGTACTGTTCTCACCAAAAATGGTAGGTGGGCAAATCTAGTGCACCTTTTGAACAGTTAAACTACTTCTACAGGTGTTCTCCCAATGTTTCGGTCGTGTCTCCTGAAAAATCACCATAGATCTTAAGGTTTATTTCAGAAACCATAGACTTTATTAACGTGTCTGAGTCTTCCACATAAGCATAAACTGTTGATAACAGTTACTTCATAGAGAAGTCCTTTGCAAGATAGTTATAAAGACTTTCAATTAACCTATGTTTAGGTAGTTCCCGCTTTTTGGAATCAGTCTCTTTGCAGCAAGAGAGTACGAAAAACCAAATAGTTACCAGTATCCATGGTTGCTTTATAAAAGTTAATGAAATTGTCTGACTGCTGAAATCCATGCTACGCAGAGTGGATTTCATGCTGTAACTGAAACTGCAAAGTCGACGACACTCCACTATTATTTTTGATCAGATATTTTATTCTAATTATACATAAATAACGTGCACAAATATGTTTGGTCAACTACTTAAAACAAATCCTTACAAATATATCAACACTTAGATAGATTTGTGTTTGTTTGTAGGGATTTGATTGGTTTCAGGATTTCATCATGAGCTGACATTAGTTAGATAACCATTGGGAAACCTGGGAGCACTGGACAGCTGTTTCGTCAGCATAGTTTGGGACTCTTTATCAGTACGTACCCACCGCCACTGTTCGAACCCAGAACCTTCTGGTTACAAGGCGAGCTCGTAGACCATTGAGCCACTGGGACCCGATCCAACGGTCCTTGAATTCTAACTTCTGCCAATTCACGACATAGCGCGACCATTTCGTGGAATATTATTTGAAAATAACAAAGAAAAGGTAGGACAAATAGTCGAGATCATAAACTGAACTTTCAATGTGCACACCTTGGCATAAAAATGCAACAGTTCAAGTTATCACACTTCACAAAACCACACAACAGCGGAAAAAAGGCGAAGAAACTATCGAAACGCAAAATGTACCGGAGAACAATGAAGATTCCGTAGGTCTGATAGATCACACAGCGTGAATGAGTCTGTGTGTTTGAGCCACATCACCTACACAGTCTCCAGCCATTCTTTTTACGCATCTCAAGGCTAGCTATACCACCCTTTATGGTTGGTTCAGATCAATAGTTAGAGGCATGATTGCATGGTCTGATATCATGTTTAGTCCAAAACTAATCCTGTATCAAGACAATATCGCTCGTCAAGAAAGATGATGATAGCTTGGCATGCGTAACACATGTTCTAGCCATCTCGATCGATAGAACTTCATAACCTGATTAATTTATTTTCATTCCTCACCTGACCTCAACATTACTCACTCACCACAATAACGAATTATGAAGGTAAACGTGCTAATGAAATCGATTACAAACCATATTATCGCCCGCATTCCTTAACTATCACTTTTAATTATCTTTTAGGCCATCATTCATGTAATTTATACTACTCTGTGAGATTAACAACATTTACTGCACATTTTGAAGAAGATAATATTTTAATATGCACCACACATATCATAGCCAATTGACTGACTTAGTTTCAACATAGAACTTTGCATAGAGATGAAGCACTTCAAGTCGCCACAATCCATGTAAAACACAAAGGTAAAGAAGCGGCAAAAAAATTCAAGAGAATTATAATGCGTAAAAATACGCACGAGATATAAATCGAACATCGAGAAATATAAGGAGTAAGTGGATTTGGGAGATTACAAAGACTTAATGCATCTACACACCACTGAGAACAATTTCGGAGCGATATCATCAACAGTTTCCAGCCATTGGTCGCTAGCATCCCCGGAACCCCAAACAGAGAGTCTACTTAACTACCTAACCAGAAATCAAAGGGACTTCATGGACTAATGCCAAGTTTTCGTTTGACCAGTCCTTATTCTTTTCCAATCTACCTCCTAACCAATTGAATGAATGGAAGTTTTAAAGCTTGTCAACTGGAGTGATGCATTTACCGAAAACCTAAAATAAAACCGGCATATATTTTATGTAGTGATTACAACATGTTGAAGATAATACAGAGAGTATGGTGAAACGTTGATAAAGTATATAGATAAAAAATAATTAGAGGGTTATTCTAAACCGCTAAGCAAATCTACAAAGTCTACGCCTATCTGTAAGGAAGCATAGGAAGTTAGTGGTTTCGGTTTCACAAAAGCTAAGAATCAGTGATTTGGTAACTCGTGATGACATGGAGTACACATGCATTCATTCACACTTAGTTATCTTCAAAACCCATGTAATCTTCAGCAAAGTCTAACAAACATGTTTGTTCATTGTACTTCTCCAATTGTGTACTGCCTTGACAAGTGTGACAAAACATTGAATACTGATCATTGTGTCACTACTCGCTATCTCCACATATCTAATCTTATGCAACTCATGAATGTACACTAACATTACATTATTCAAACCTTGAATTTTCTTGCATGTTGGCAACACTTGGTCGTGTCTCAACACCAAGTAAGCTTGCAAACGAACTTCAGAGTCATTCATAGAGTACGCGAGAATCTTGGCAAAGGTTAACGAATCAAACTTTTGTAAACCGCAGAAGCTGTGGAAATCCTTAACTCTACACATGCATTTCGTTCACTCAGTGAACTTAAAATAGACCTAATTTATCTACACAGTTGACCCGTAACTTTTTCCCTTCCCTAACAATAAATGAAATGAAGTTTAACTCAAAAATTATTTGTATATCCATGAACTTGGAAATCAGCCACACCTATCTGTGTGAGGGTTGACGCTTCTGGTAGTAACACCTAATGTAACGGTAGAATAAAACAGTAGTTGGCAAGCCAATTATTCATTGGCAACTCAACGTAGAGATATAAGCAAAATACGTCTACCACATATTTGAGGCACAGTTTGCACATGTCTTCGGTACTGCGCTACTTTTTCTTTCCTTCGTGTTTTCCAGGTTGTTTCAGATGTTTATGTACATGTTTATATCTCTGCCTATACACTACTTATAAATCTTGTCGGCAGAACAGGTCACCAAACCACCTGACTGCTCAACCTTGGTAGGCGAAGCGGTTCTCTGAACCCGTGATCCACAGGGTGGAAGGCAATGAGCCACAGCTACTTAAGACGCTGACTTTGGCTTGACACCTATCCTCAGCTTTAGTTCGTTACCAATTAACCCTATCACTTAGTTTACTTACTTAATTTTGTCTCAATCTCGACCTAATTAATGTTTTTTTGTAACACATAACTTTCCATACAATCTCTCGACTTTTATCTAAAACTATCAGGTGTTTTTTTGGTAAGGATTTCATCAAAGATAATATCTATCGGCTAGAAAACCAATGACAACTAGAGAGTACTGGAAAGCATCTCCGACCCAGTTGAAGAATCTTCTGCAGAAAGCAAACGTGGTCCCACCAGAGACTGAATCAAGGACCTATGGGTTACTGGAACAGAATTCAATGCCCCAATGGCATTAAGCGGCATACAGCTCAACTGCCGCCCAATGTCGTCGTCGAGTGTTTGTTTTTACATGCTACTTCGTGAACTCCAATGCTCACAGCTTCACATTAGAACTTCAGGCAACTTTATCCTGCAGTCAGTCAGTAAAACTCAAAAATTTTAATGAAACGACCTTGGAAACATTCCTTAAAAATATCGCTGAACGCCTTCTGTTCTTCCTTTATAATTGTCTATCTGGCAGTAGAGAACAATTATGTGTACATTTTCATACGGAAAATACCAAAATCCATCCATACTTCAGATGAAACACACGAAAAATATACACGTAAAATATGTTATAAGTTTAACGTGTTTACCTGAACGTAGTAGACATGGATGAATATGTGGTGGTTCTTCAGGTCGACCAGCATATGATGTTGCATCTAGATCATATCCACTGAAGAAATTCAATCGACTAGATACTGTTGTTGACGGATTAATATAATTTGAGTTGAAATTACTACTGTTATTATTTCCAGAACATGGCGCTTCGACGCAAAGAACAAAGTCTTCACGATCGCCTGCTGATGCTCCATACAAAATTAAACCGAAACAAAACTCTTTGCTAAATACAAAAAAAATTAAAGTGAAGGAAAATGATGATGAAAAAGAAATAAGTAGTTTTCGAAAGGAAAAATATTAATGTGCACTTCTCTTTGCAAAGAATCGAAGCCAATGGATTATACTTTCTTAAAAAGCATTAACGATACGACTATCGGTTGCTGAAGTATAGGTGAGTAAGACAGTGAAATTCTGGACACAGGAGCAAGGCAAGACTGTCTACCATCACCGGTGATATTCCTAATTGTGGTGAAATGGATTGTGCAGAAGCATGTGAGTATTTTTTTATTATAGCTTGATTCCACGAAGTATTTTTGACACAAGTATAGAATTTTCAGCATGTGATATCGGTAGCCCAAATTTTGCAGGCCGACCATAGATATCAGGTGTGCGTCTGCAGGGGATCGAACGCCGGACCATGTGCATGGTCGGCGAGAGTCCTAACCGCTGTGCCACCGATAATACGCGTTACTTACTTTTTATTAAATTATTCATTTCCTACACAAAAACTTCTTTTTACTGCACCGTCATCATTACGTTTCTATGCCCTTTGCTAAATAACTTGAATTAGTACATGCCTCTGAATAGCCCAGCATTGATTTATCAGTTATTCACTCGAATTAACCTAAAAAAATCACAGTAATCACTGATGTCATGCTCCGAGAGCTTTCAATACATTTGAATTGGCATCAAGAACTCCCTAATAGGAGTTCATGTAATTTCAGCTAGTTCTTGGATAACTTAATAACTTTAGTGTAGATTTCATCACAAGTCAACAACAGTTTGAGAACCATTAGAAACCAAAGAGTACTGCATAGCTGTTTCGTCATAGTTCGAAACTCTCTATAAGTACAGACTGACTATTCCACTCGGGATCGAACCCAGGACCTCTCCAGGACAGAAGACCAGGCTTGTTCATCGTTCAGTCGATTCGACTGACATGTGCGCCTCGAAGATAAAATACATAAAAAGTATCCATGCTATTCAATAACAAGGCACGTACAATTCTCTCCAAGGGTAACAAAAATATGCTACACGCATAAAAGTATTTTTTCTATTCATGAATAGTTAATTCAACAATGAATTAGTTCTATTACCTAGCGACAAAAACCATAACACACAATAGTAATGATCCGTATTATAATAATAATAATAAAGATTATGAGTAAATGTGTATGAGGAGTGATTAACAGTTGACCTCATTAAATAAAAAACAACTCTTTCTACAAAATATGCAAATTTTAGCATTAACAAAAAAATAGTAATGTTTTCACACACCAGGTTTAATCCAGTCAAGTTGGTCTGAACCACCTAAAAGCATAAACTAAGGTCGCGTACAACTAATAATACTTTAACAGATTTAATTTCATGTTGGAACAAACCCGCCATACACTCAGTAAAAGAAATATGGCTCTTCAGCCTCCAAGTTTACCTAGTGAGTCCAGAATTCGAATCCCACTAAGCTTACTTATTCGTGTGCGACCTCGTAATGTCATCAGCCCCAAACAATAAGTGTAGCCTATATCCTGGGGATATGGAAAATCTGCATCAGGTGAGTCCGTTCAAAATAAGTCAAAACAATACACTCAGAACAGATTCGAATCATAAATTTGAATTAATAGGTATGTGATGCATTAACTTTTTGAACACACCAACTGACAAGAGGATCTTAACATTCCCAGTACCACATCCATAAAGTCTACATCTCCTTACGCGGGTGTCTCAAAAGAACAGTCAAAGACTTCATGGAATGACTTCACATTATGATTTGATCGCCTCTAACTCTTTTACAACACAAAACTATGTCAACCAACATCGCTCATTGTGGAAGGCAATGAACTCAGCATACATAACGCGTCCTGGCCAACTCAATCTATGTGACTACAAAACCTCACCGACTAATTTATCTACTTTGTCTAACACTCTACGCCTATCCTGAATATTACTCACCATATCATATTACGCGGCACGTTAAGTTTGAGACAACTTAAACAAATGGAGGAGTCAATGTATTACATCATTCGTTGCACTCCCCTGCCCTTAAAAATAATAGAAGTTAATGCAAGCCAGTCAGTCTTGTAGTGTTATATCTTACATGTAACAGGAAAAGAGTGAACTCCAAACATACAGTTGCCTGCTTTATATATTTCAGCCTGGACGCCTGGACAAGTATGGCCCATAGCCCAACCACCGGGTAATCGAGTTCTAAATAATAGATACTGAACAAAGAGTACTCTTTTCGATAAATTCATCATCAGGCTCTACATTTATAGTGAATGAATTAGTTAGTGTTATAAACGACATTAATGTTTAAACAACATCAAATCAATAATATTGATAAATTACACCTGAATCGCATCGACATAGGATAAGTTGAATGTCAGAAACATTAAGAAAGATAATAGTACAAATTCATGGGTTTATAGCTTCTACTGAAGGCCAGGGCAATAGTAGGGGTTGGACTTGCTTCTTTTGGACACAGAGTGCTGGTTGTTTGAGGCGAATCGCAATAGCCTACGCTGTTTGGAGCCTGCGGTGCTTCGATGTTTTTGGTAATTTATTTGGCACCTGGTATAATATAGAGAAGGAGTTCTAAATAACCAATTTATATCTAAATCAGAATAAAACTTCGTCATCAAAGATAAACTTGTTGCATAAATTAAAGTATCATTGGTCCAAAGAGTGTGGTGACTCAGATTTCTATTAATCAATTACATTAACTAATTTATTAAATCACTTACTCATACACAGTATAATGAATTGGAAAGAAATCACACTTGGAGAGATCGAATCTTTCAGGTTTGCGTTTTTCACCATCAACCAATGTTAAGATACTTTGCTTTCTATCCAACTGGGCATAATATGATTTCCATTTTTTCCTTTGTTGTGACCCTTAGGGAAGAGAATATAATAAAATTGCTAACTACATATAAGTGAAGCGATACGTAATACATATATATATATATATATACATCTACCCTTGTGTTCCTTTTTATTTGCGTTACTCGATAGCCACGCGCATTTCCATGTATTTCGCAGTAAGTTACACCTATTGTGTGAGGACTAGTGATATTACTTGGCTGCCTATACGTTGGTACGTAGTAGGACAGAGTTGGAATCCGTGATTCAGTTGTAGTCTAGTAAGCTGCACAGCTTCTCTGCATTCCTTTCGCTGTACACATCAAACTGAGGAGGGGCATTGGGCATCACAGTGATCAACCATGCGAGTGGTCTGAGGTTCAATCCCGAACCGATGCACTCCTGAAACATCGCTTAGGAGTAGTAGTAAGCCAGGTAAAGAGGAAAGGTTGGGTGTGAGGGTTAGCAACCCAACCCGTATAAACAATAGTGATACTGAAAATTCAGAGCTCTAACTTGAAACCCCATGTTCCACTCAAAACGCAGAGGAATAAAAAAGAATGCCTACCAGTCCTGTGTTTTTAACAACTATTTAGCTGATGACAGTGATTGGTGAAGACAACAACTACAACAACACTGATGGATTATACTTGACGGTAATTAATTTTATGTATCTTTTCCTGAATGGTGACTAGGTTCTGTGGTTGCCCAGATAGAAAACCCATGATCGAGGTGTACTTTAATAAAATTATGTTAGGCAGTAAACAATCCTGTCCTGAAGCTAATTAACTAGCTGACTGATTTTAACATAGAAGTTTGCACAGATGTGCACCAGTTTGAGTTGCCACATTCCATGTAGCACACAAAGCAAGAGAAGAGAATGAAGAGAGATTCAAAAGAGATATATGAGGAAAGAAGAATAGTAGTATGGAAGAACAATAGAATTTTATTGGATATTATAAATCACAAAGAGTGAATGTACTTGCGCCAGCTATCCAGAACGACTTTGAGCCATATCACTGATTGTCTTCAGCCGTTGGTTTTTACCAACCGAGAACCCCACAACCAGTCAGGAAGTCTACACCTCCCTACATGGCTTACGCTAACCATCATGGCTTTCATTGACTGATGTCATATTTCGGTTTGACCACTACTAGCTGTTTTCCAACCTGCTCCTATGTTCGCTAACATCACCCGTTGAGGAAGACGATGCCTAGGCGTGCGTAACCAACTGCTTCTGTGCCCTCATCCACAAGGTGTTACTGTAGCACAGAATTGATGACACTGAAGTAAAACCAGGGATTCAAACTTAAAAGTAGATGGAGATGAAGAAATTATGTACTTTTTCAGGGGTATTATGTTTTCCTCCATCAAGAGAAAAATCCAACAGTTTAAACTGTGATTAATTCACTTCATAAATGAGTTAGTTACAAAACTACCAATAGATATCAGTAACTTACATGCATACCTATTTTCCCATACTTTAAAGGGACTTAACAGAAATGAAGACTTCATCACTGTGCTTTCATGCTCCAAAATTTTAATTAACATAAGAAATACAGAAAACAGAGGGAAGTTAAACTATAACACAGCGACGACCTACAAGAATGACTTTGAACAACCAATCAGAATAAATAAATGCCAAATCTCATTAATCCGCTAAGATTAGAAGATAAAGTGAGATTAGTGTTGGTAGTTAGGTCATATTTAGGTTCCAATGATCTATATAACTTAAAAACAGATCTATGTATTATACTGTTCATTTGTATTCTATTTGGTTGTTTTTCAAAGTCACTTTACATTGGTGATCGCTATAGTTTAACTCCATCATTTAATGTAGCAGGACGCAGACAGAGACTGTTTATAACAGAAGAGTTTTGTTTATCTAATTGACCGAAAACATGTGAAAGAGGAATTATCGAACATCAGTTGTTCAAGGTAGGTGTCCATAAATTCTACTATTGAAACTCTGAAGAAGGGATTAGAACTGTGCAAAGCTGTGAAGTTACATGAGATATGAGTATGAACAAGAAATTTTATTTCATTGTATGATATATCTAATAGATAAACAAATATGGAATACTTGGATGTCCAGATGTCGGTAGGTGAGGCAGGGTTTGAACCCAACGGGATGGGGTTGCAAGTTGAGTGCCTAGACCAATGAAACCATAGCTCTACAACTCAACACTTACAATCACAGATGTTTTCATAACACTTCAAAACTATTATCTCTTGTTCAACCTTAGTAACCCCCAACGACCCACCCACCTACATCGTAGTATCTGAACAACACACTTTAGTCAGAAATAATTGCACAAAAGTGCCACATTAGTCGTCAATAAATAAATCCAAACATTTTTGAATACAGAGCAAAAGTAAAGGACCCAATACGAATACACTTCAGAAAAAGAAGCTTATGAAAACAGTGGTCACTTACAGACAGATAGTTCCCCATGGATTTCAGTCAGTGTTTGATGAGCAGCTGGAGGTTGACGTGCATAAAACATATCCATATAGATTGTAGACGATGGAGGATGTATCTGAGGCTTGAAAATAAAAAAAAAGGACGAAATCATTGAGGTAAGGCCATGCAGTTTAAATTTAAATTTTTGATTACAGCTTGATTCCACACTGTTTATTTTGGTACAGGCATGGAATCTTCAGCTTGTGATATCGGTAGCCCATATTTTGCAGGCCGACCATAGATATCAGGTGGGCGTCGATGAGGGATCGAACCCCTGACCACGTGAATGGTCGGCGAGAGTCATAACCACTGTGCCATCGACGCACAGTGTGGATGAGAGTCGTATATCGATCTACCTTATTACACTTCATTATAAAGACTGGAGGAATAATAAGTAGGCTGAAACCTGGTGCCACTAAACATGACATATGAAGAAAGTAAAGAAGAATAGACGATAAAACTGTTTAAATCGTGAACACGATGGAAAAAAGTAGGAGATATATCTATACTGATTTCAAATGATTATCATTTCGAGTCCATCGCGATCTAATAAGTATGCTGGAACACTTTTCAACAATTCCCAAGCCAATAGTTGGCAATTAATGGATTAAAAATGAGTCAGTAGTTTAGTGATAGGACACTAACTAGCCAAGCAAGTGGTCCGGGGTTCGACCCACGACAAACGACCATAGGCGACAGGACGAATGAAGATGTCAACAGCAACTAGAATCCGAAAGGTAAGACACACCTTCATCCACCTGAAATCGGTTAGGAAATATTCTCCAATCAGCATAAACAACAAAATCAGTCAGTCAGTTCTTGTATATGGGTCAGAGACTCGACACGACCATCACAAAAGCATTTCCAACAGCCTACTGTAAACTTTTATCAACAGCTGTCTCTCCCGACTCCATATTGAAGATCACATGGCCGGCCAAAAACAATTACCAATAAGGCACCTAGCAACGAAACAACCAACAACCTATAGCTCAACAAATATCACAAAGAAAATGGAGGTGGATCGGAAACACGCTGAGGCCGTTGAATAACATAGCACGTTCGACACTCGAGTGTAACCCGAACGGGAAACGAAGAGTTGGGCATAGGTATGAGGGTGACATGGAATTGATCGTGCAAGAAGATGAGAGATTATGGATAGTGGTGGATCCAGGTCAAGACAACAGCAGAAAATAGAACAAAATGGAGGGGTGTTGTTGAGGCCGTGTTGCACTTGGAAAACAAGGGAACAAAAATAATAAATAGATATTTTCTCCATTATTTCAAAAGATAATTAAAATACAAATAAAGTTGTTGAATTAATAATAAAAAGTATCCACAAACTTGAGAATAAAAAACTAAGTTCAGCAGTTCTTCTCAAGTTTTTGTTTGACTGATTTTAAGATTTATCGTCAACTGATTTCAAGAAGAAAAACAGTGAGAACCATGGAGTACTGGACAGCTGTTTCGTCCTTGCCTGTTACCTTTCAGCAGTAGTCAACCATGACCCCGCCAGGGGTCGAACCCAGAACCCTCAGGTTACAAGACCAGCTCCTTGACCATTCAGCCGCCGGGACTTAATCCAACAGCCTATCAGTTCTCGCTGATGACATTAGCTGGCCAGTGTATTATAAATTGCGAACTGATGGACCAGTGAATTCCGTCTCGGTGATTGAATAGTCAAGGAGCTCGTCTTTCGATTCCTGGTGAGGTCGTAGTTGCGTGACGATGAAGAGTTTCAAACAAGGGTGAAACGGCTGTCCAGTACTCCTCGGTTTTCGTTGGTTCGTAATCAATCTGGAAAAAAGGTTGTTACTACGTATAAAAGCACATTATAATTCATCATAAAAAAGACGTACTTTACGTTCTCTGTTGACAGGTTTAAAAACAGGCAAGTTAGTGTGCATATTTGAGCCATCCGTTGAATGGAATTCATTCGACTGTACATGATGATTTCCTGATACTGTGCCATTCGTTGAATGGTTAGCAGATTCAGTATCCATTAAGCAATCTCCAGTAACAGGTACATTTAGAGTACTGGATTCTTCAGTATGAAAAAGTTCGGAATGATGTGATTCAATCGCTGCGACTACAGCTTCTACACTAGGAAAAGTTGTTCCACTGTACAGAATTTTAGTTGTTGTTCGATAGAGAGGAAACTGAAAATTTACACTGAGTGTTGAAGTATCATTTGTTGAAGAATCTTGATTGTCTAATCTCCTAGACCCTGAAAATGTTTCATCTGATCGTCTTCTATGCACATCTGATTTATCGCCTCCGCTATTATCAATCGCAGATGATTCTTCGCCAGTATCTTCTATGTGTACATCTGAAGGTCCACTGTTTCTACGATCAGAATTTGTATTTTGATTATTTTTATTTGTTGTTGGTGTTACATTGTCTCGATAGATTAATTCTGATTGAACAACCAATTCAAGTCGACATTTACGTACTCTTATACCATCGTACAATAGTAATGTATATAAGCCTGGACGTGAATCACACGGTCTTAACAAGTAACTAAATGCACCAGCTGGAAAATAAAGGGAAACAAAAAGTTAATAAGAAAATCAATACAACTGCAACAAAACTAAAATTAAAGACAAATATGTATTCATAAGAAATGTATATCAGAAGTAATGGAAATATAGTCTGTCGTGGTTCAATTGTAAAATGCCTCCCCCAGCCATGCAGGAGGTCGTGGTTCGATTTTCCAGCCGACGAGTTCCTAAACCTCTACTAGTTCACTTACCCGTAGTAAGCTGGGAAAAGAAGGAGGTTCGGATGGGCATCTAGCAATCCTCCCCAGTAAGAAACAATAGAACAGCTACAGAAATTTCAAAAGTTTAAAACTCTATATTCCAGTCAACACGCAGAGGATGAAGAAAAAAGATGGGAGCGCAAAACGTCTTGATACATATTTAAAAATACAATAAACGCTACAATCGCCAGTCTTTTAAAGTCAAATCTTAGACTTAGGACCGCTTAACTAACAAATTAAAGATTGTGACATAACATGATGCTAAATCATGCCATTGAGAACCTTCTCTTAACAAGTGAGAAACCTCGTAGAGATGGCTAATATGTAATCAATAAAGTGAAGCAGTTAATATCTAATTAGACATTCTCCTATTAAAAGCCACGCTTAACCCAACTTTCTTAAGACTTAAGTCTTTCGCAGCCAATATTATAGCCCAATATAAAAGATGATTCATCAAAACTTATCGTATAACCCAATGGATTGACTCAACACTGCTAAAGCCTGAAATTGGGCCTAAACTTTATGAATAATAAATACTGTTGTTTTACGACACATTACACATACAGATACTTATATACAAAGCACATAATATGGATTTAATATCTTCAACTTCAAAATGTTATTATAATTATCAAGAAGAATTTTCGATAGAAACAGAATAAGAAGCATATTGGACTTTAAAACGGAATGCTTAATGCTTAAACTAATAACAATCATATACAATTCTGAGTATTAAACTATGAGATATACAGCTGTCACAAGGATGGAGAAATTATCCAACGGAAAACTGAAAAGGCTGAATGACACTTCCAATACTGGCGATAAATTAGCAGCAACTAGTTGGACACTTGTCAAATTAAGTCATCTTTGGTGTAAGTGTGGTATCCGCCTAACCAATAAGGGACCTGTTTACTGTGCAACAGTTCGCTCTGTTCATCTTCAATGGTTGTGAGATGCCAACAATGAAAGTGAAAGAAATGAAAAGGCTAGCCTTCTTTGATCACAGATGTTTGTATTCTGTTTTCCACATTAAGTGGCATAACATAAAGCGCAATATTCAGATTAGACATACAGTATTATATAAGGAAAGGAAATCGATCGATGAAGCTGTGAACCAACACCGATTCAAATGACCGGGGAACGCGTTATACACACACCGAGCCACCACCTCCCTCGACGAACGGTGATCTGTTAGATGACATACAATTAGGTTGGAGAACTGGGGGGGTGATTAAAACAAAGCCCAAGATCTATTCATGCAGTCTTTGACAGTTGGTTTGGACTATGTAAGGAGATGCAGACTGTTTGGTTGGGGTCCTCAGGATTCTAAGAACTGTACGTTGCAGTCCTTCCTGGGGATGATCAGTTACTATAGTGCGTTTCTGCCAGATTTACATCGTCTCAGGGCCCCAATGAATCAGTTGCTCATGAAGAATGCTAAATGGAACTGGTCAGAAGAATGCCAACAAGCTTTCATCAAGGTCAAGAAATTACTCCAGTCTGACCTGCTGTTAACACATTACAATCCAAAGCTGGATATAACATTAGCTGCAGATGCGTCCAACTATGGTATTGGCGCTGTCATTTCACATGTGTTTCCAGACGGTGTTGAAAAGCCAATAGCATATGCATCGCGAACCTTGACAAAGGTAGAGCAGAATTACAGTCAGGTCGAAAAGGAAGGATTAGCGCTCGTGTTTGGGATTCAAAAGTTCCACAAAATGCTGCTTGGCCGAAAGTTCACACTTTTTACTGATCACAAACCACTATTATCGATTTTTGGCTCCAAGAAAGGTATTCCAGTCTATACAGCCAATCGACTCCAACGATGGGCGACTATGCTACTAGGATACGACTTTCAGATCAAGTACAAATCTACAAAAGATTTCGGGAATGCAGATGGCCTCTCGCGTTTACTCAGCTATAACAAGCCCGCAAAGGAGGACGCTGTGATCGCCGGCGTTTCTGTCGATGAAGACGTGTGCCACGTATTGATGACGGCAATAAACACTTTACCTGTCTCAGCCGACATGGTTCAACGAGAGACGCAGCGTGACCCGACATTACAGTCAGTTCAACAGTATCTGCGTTGTGGCTGGCCCTCGCGTATTGATTGTCCAGATTTAAAACAGTTCTATCAACGACGACATTCGTTATCCCTGGTCAATGACTGCATTATGTTTGGCGAACGTGTGGTCGTGCCTCGAAGTCTCCAACAAAAAGTCATGAGTCAACTACATTTTACGCATCCTGGTATTGGCCGTATGAAATCGTTGGCACGCTGTTACGTCTACTGGCCAAATATCGATCGTGAATTAGAAGTGATGGTTCGCTCATGTTCTCGCTGTGCTCAGGCTTTGAAAATGCCTATCAAGACAGACCTACAGCCGTGGCCCAACCCAGGAAAACCGTGGTCAAGAATCCACATAGATTTTGCCGGCCCAATCAATGGCAAACAGTTTCTCGTGGTAATCGACGCGTATTCCAAGTGGCCGGAGGTTTTCATTATGCAAAATACCACAGTGACGATAACATTAAATAAGTTGGTTCAGCTTTTCAGCAGATTTGGTGTTCCAGAGATCATCGTTTCCGATAACGGACCTCAGTTTACAGCTGAACAATTCAAACAGTTTTGTGAGCGGCTAGGTGTTCAGCATATTCGCAGCCCGCCTTACCATCCTCAGTCAAATGGACAAGCAGAGCGTTTTGTTGATACACTCAAGCGCGCACTTCAGAAGTCAAACGGGGAGGGATCGATAGAGGATGTATTGCACAATTTCCTCTTCATTTATCGAACCACAACCAACCCATCATGCCCAAATCAAACATCTCCCGCAGAAGTTATGTTTGGAAGAAGATTACGTACTACTTTGGATACAATTATCCCGATCCCATCAAGACGGAGCAAATGTGGTCGAAATAGTGAATTTTGGTTCAATAGACGTCATGGCACCAAGCAAAGAAGTTTCATGGTTGGTCAGTCGGTACTGGTTCGTGATTACATACGGAGAGATCGCCCATGGGTTTCTGGAGTGATCGTTGGAAGAAAAGGCCAAGTCATTTACAAGGTCAAGGTTGGAGACCTTATTTGGGTCAGGCATGCCAATCAAATAAGAAATAGACTAGTTGGTAAACAGTTGAACGATTCCAAGTCCGCCGACGTACAATTTGAGCTATTGATAGATACGACGGATCCGAAAACGTCACATGGCCAAAATAGTCGAAACAAAGGCAAAGTGTCCCAGCAGCCAAGGAGATCACAACGACAACCAAGACAGCCAAAGTACCTACCTACAAGTGATTCCGCGATACAAAAGCTATCGGTAGCCCTATCTTAAAAGGGGAGGTGTCTGGAAGAGGCAAAACACATGCAATTATCAAGTTATTATCATGTCGTTGACATGTATTTGTTTCTGCTTTCTGATTGGACGCTTGCACAATTCCAAACTCTCAACCGGATTGGTTGATTTTCAGTCTACCTTATTTTTGTATAAATACAGTCACTTTTGTTATAAATAAAGGATTCTGGTTTTACCGCTGATTGTCGCGTGTTCTGCTTTACCAATTAAGTGGGCACTGGTCAGTAGTTAAGCGGTTACCTCGTGACAAAGATCTAGCATCATAACAAGAACTAAAAGCTGGAGACTAATGGTGATATGATTCTAAATAGTTTTCTCTGGGACAGATGCATTCACTCTTTTTTTTAATGTCCAATATCCACTGAACCGTCATGTTTTATTTTTGTGTCACTATTTTTTTACCCCGTAGATTTCTGTTCATCATCGTTCTTTTGAATTTTTTCTCTTTTTCTCTACCTTCACGGAGTGCGGCAAATTGAACTGCCATACTTGTGTGCAGAGTTCAGCACTGAAACTCAGTCAGTTGTTAGTCATTCGATATCCAGTCTGATGATGTACATAGTGTATGTCGTATATGTACATATTTATTAATCTCTTTGATAAAAATACAATTACAACACCAGACATGCATACATTAACATTGTCATCAGGTATGTAAATACGCAGTAAAAGAAAATTTACAAGAGAATAACATCAGACGGGTGGATGACGAAAATTCCTCACTATTGCTTGTGTGTGTGTGTGTGTGTGTTTATGCATATAGCCCATCGACGCAATAGACACACACACGTATATATGATGTATTTATCCCCTAGAAGCACAAATTTTCATATGCTTAGTTATCGAAGATAAAAGACAGTGTCTATCATGTGTATAGTTGCCTGTGTGTGTTTGATTTTATTGAATTTAAAAGCAGTAGCTCATTGAAAAGGGACAGTTAGCATTACTATTGTCTAAAATTATTATTTAATTTTTCCATAGTTGCTGTAATTGCTTCTTCTTCTTCTTTGTCCTACCATGATTACTTTTCTAACTTACTTTATACATAAATACTATATACATATACATACAAAAACAAATTATTAAACGCCATTCATCATATGTTGTGTACATCAATCTTATCTTACATATGTGATAGTCAATTTCCACTGAGCCTTTATCCTACAGATATATCAGTTTCATATATGTGCATATATGTACAGTAGAAACATGAAAATAAAAATTTAAATATAAGTGGAATAAAAGCGATTTCTATTATTAATACTGCTACGACTACTATTCGTCCCTTGGGTCCCGAGTGGAACATCTCCATTTTACTCAGTTCTCTACGCTCACTTTTAGCTGGTTACACACACAACTGCTCTCATATGATCTCTTCCACGTCATCTGCGAATGTGCACCCAACTCGTCGGT